AGTAGTCAATCTTTATGAGTTTCTGTGGACATGAAAATAAAGTAGCATCTAGTAACTAATCCTCTGGTAATACTTTATCACAATAACATTAGAAAAATACACAGTGAAAAAAAAATTGCAAGCTTGTCAGTAGAGGCAATGTCAAGGCTTTGAATGTGACTTCCAGCAGCAGAGGAGAGAATGAACTATGGGTTCAAGAGAGAATTAGCCCTGGCAGTTGGGACAAGTCAAGTTGCAGAGAACACCAAGCCTAGGTAAGGTAAGGAATCTACCTAGGACAGATGCTGCACCCTGGCCAAAACACCCTGGAGAACATCAGCTGATGAAGACGGAACATGGGGGGCCCTCCAGTGCTGGAGACGTGAGCTGCCCTGTCCCATGTTGCCTCAATACCTGGGTACTCTCTGTGTGTACCCATTCTTCCCACTGCTAATGTATGGGAAAGTGAACTTGAAATTACTATTATTCTTAAGTCATCTCAATAACTAAAAAGAAAAACTGAACTAAAAACTGAACTTAAAAAAAAAAACACCACCACACAGTAAATTCATTCATTATTCATAAAGTTAATATGGCAGGTGAGTTGATTAAACAAGGTGAACAATGTCATTTAAACAAAAATACTGTAGTGAAAATTAGATGACTCATATGTCCAGGTCTGAATGGGGTAGGGGGAAGATTTTACATGTTGAAAATGGTCTTTGTGAGTAGTAAGAATGTAGAAAACTGATTAGCCTGGCCTAGAAAGAACAGGGGTGGGTGGGTGGTTGTCAGTCTGAGAAGAAAGTGGGGGTATTGTTCTCCACACAGTCACCGTTTGTGTGAAAGCAATGCTAACTGGTTGTAGCTGGACTTGTTCCAAGGAAAGAAAGAAAGCAGCCCCACGTGAACTAAATGCCTTTTGCCTTTCCCAGTCATTACTGCTCTGTAATGCTCTCCACCCTATTCAGCTCCTGTTCTCAACTGATGACATTCCTAAGCTTCACAACAAGCCTGGCTTGCCATGGAAATCAAGCCCTGGTTGAGGTTCTCACTCTGGACTGTTGCATTGTGGACTTTCTATAAGCCAGTTTACACATGTTCTCACAAACATTAGCTGTTAAGCTTTAACCTCTTCTCCAGGTTGCCTAGCCCATGAGCTTGGAGATTTGTTTGACTCTACTCAGACGGAACAAAGGGAGGAAGATAAAAGACAGGAAACAAGGAAGGCAGGACAAACACCACAAATCACTTGAAAAAAAGACTTTATTTATGACTCATGAAATAAAGTCTCCTTTAGGAGTATGGTAGCTGAAAGAAGGATAACTTAATAGTCACCAGAAAGAACTCCTTCAAATTTGTATTCTGAATCATCCGTGTGAGTTCCAGATGTAGACATTAATTGTACACTATACTCAGAAGCAGCAGCATATTGTAGTGGATAAAAGGCAGTCTTCGGAGTCAGTAACACCTGAGTTCAAGTCCTACCTCTGAGACATACTGCCTGGGTGACCACGGGCAAGTCACTTAACTTCTCTGTGACTCTGGCAACTTTCTTAGGATGTAAGCTACTGAAAGGTCTCTGATCTGCCTCCATGAAGGGAGTTAGCATGTGGGAAGTTCCTCAGATGAAACCATAGGTCCAGGTCAAAAATCTCTCAAAAGCATATGTATTAACAACGCATCAGATGAGGTTGACTAGCTCCATGGATCGGGGTTTAACAGTATTTCAGTTGTCCTCGACCAGTGAGCAGAAAACCTACTTGATCAATGTAGATTTTCCTTTATCTTAGAAAGGATGACAGAGAACCCCACAAAAATTGTACTTATCTATGGGCTTTGTTGATTTATCTCATCTTCTCTTTGTACTGTCTTCTGTGATTTGTTTTAAGTTTCCAGGGTTAGTAGCTTTCCAAGTCTTGTGATTGAATTTAGGGCATGACCTGATTCATCATGTGTCAGACACTCTTAGAATGGAATAATCTATTCATTATTTCACACCACCACAAAATGCCGTACACTACTTGGTCCCCAAGGAAGACCAATTAAATGTACGTTCTCATTTTATGGCGGCACGGATTCTACTATGTGTATACACACTTAAATGTATGTAAATATATATGTGTATGTATGTAAATATGCACACATAGATACATACGTGTGTATATATACATGTGTATACATATATTTTTATCCTCACAAAATAGAAAAATGTTAAGACTGCCTTAGATTCTCAATTTCCTTCCCTACAAATTTAGATTTGCATAAGTACTGACGCATTTTACCATAGATAAAATATTTAAGTTCTTTTAGCTGGAAAGAGCTAAGAGAACCCCAAAGTAAAAATACAGTGTAATGAGCAATAGCCCCAGATTCAGAAGGTGAGCCAGCTAGGGAATGAGGCCTGACTTTGCCACTTACTAGCTGTGTGACCATGGTTGTTGTATAATTCTTCTGAGCTTTAGTTCTCCATCTGTAAAATGGGAATAAATACTTGTACTAGGTCTGTTGTAGGATGGTTTTGAGCAAAATACTTTGTAATCTGTGATAAGTAGGGCATATGAACAGCTAGGTGGCACAGTGGATAGAATCTGGCTTGGAATCAGGAAGACTTGAGTTCAAATATTGACCTCAGATACTTCCTAGCTGTGCAACCCTGGGCAAGTCACTCAGCCTCTGTCTCAGTTTCCTCATTTGTAAGATGAGGATAATAGCAATATCTACCTCCCCAGAACAAATGAGATAACGGCAAAGCATACAGTGCCTAGCACACAGTAGGTGCTATATAAATGTTATCTTTTATTATTATTATTCTTAAGCTAGAAAAGTATAGGCTATTACTATAGATAAATACTTGATTAGTAAGTCCAAAGAAAGGAGGAAAAGCTGATATCACTGCTAAATGCAGTCTGAACTCTTCAGGACAACAGATCTTCCAAAAAGGCAACAAAGATATTGAGGTATTTTTGCTTCACTGACTTCTCACCATGTGCTCACTATTGGGGGAAGGGGTGTCAAAAGGGACCTTCAATTTACTTCAACAAACATAGAGTCATAGAGCCCATCTCCCTGCCACTACACACGACACAAACTTTTCATCCGCACTCCATTTCAGTTAATCACATGGCTCATTAACACAAGCCAAAAAGAAGCAAGCATTGACCCAGTTGTTTAATTTTAGAAATGATAAAAAAATCAACCTGGAACATAAATGCAACATGATGTTAGCGCAGCTAATTTATTCCTTTGTGTCTTTTCATGTCAGAAAACATGTTGTTTTCCATTGCCAACAATGGCAACACCAAAATCGCTGGTAACAAAAAATACAACCACGGGTATGAACTCTTGGTATCTCTAGTTACCTTTTCCTCCCTTTATCTTTCTAAAAGTACCTGTCTCTACGGAAAGAATCTTCCACATAAAAATACCTGTAATAAAAATTATACCTTAACTGATCAAAAACAGCTATCCATTTACACCAAGTTAAAAAGCCCTGTTAAAGTAGAATTCTCTAGCATACTGATACAGAAGCTTTTGTACAAATATCAAGTGCTTCAAAAGCCCTTTATACTGAAAATGTCTTACTTGCCTTCTGACAAATAGGTGATTCTAGATAATGGAATCACTGCTGTACTTAAGACCACCCAAAGGTCATTCATTGTGACTTAAGTACACATGAATTTATATTTATGTGTAAGGCTCTTGAATTACAGGGGAAGAGGAACCTCAGACTCATTCTTCACATATCCCACCTGTGTCGTCATCTCTAACAGTCTAAATAGTTCTTAATTTTCCTGCTTCTGGTATTTAGAATGTTGTTTTCAACTCCTATGGTTGGTAAAAATCCTTGCTGTCTCTTTAAGGAAATATTAAATCCCTAAAATCTCTACCTTGATCCAAGGCCATTTTTCTTATTGAAAGCAAATATAACTGCGATTTTACCTTTCTGTCCCATCCAGACCAGTAATTTCATCTATGCATGGACCTCTCTGTGAATAAACCTCCTCTACCAACAGGAACTGTTCTAAAATGATGGTGTCTGCAGAGAGTTGTTGGACGGCACTGAGAAGTCATGGACCTTGCTCTGGTTGACACAGCCAGCACATATCAGAGGTGGGGCCAAACCACTCTCTAGTCAGTCAGTCAATAAACATTAAATGCCTACTATGTGGTAGCCACTGTGCTAAGGATACAAAAAAGACAAAGATAATCTGTTCTCAAGCTCATAGTCTAATAGGGAGGACAACATACAAATAATCATCTACAAACAAGGCATATACAGAGCAAATTGGAGATCATTAACAGAGAGAAGGCACTAGAATTAAGGGGATCAGGAAAGGCTTCCTGTACAAGGTGGGATTTTTAGCTGAGACTTGAAAGAAGCCAGGAGGTGGATGGGAATGACCAAGGACAGAGAGCATTCCTAGCATGGGGGACAGTCAGTGAAACCACCCAGAGTCAGGAGAAGGAGGGTCTCTTCGAGGAATGGCAAGGCCACTGTCCTGGACCTCAGGGTACTTGCAGGGTGGAGGGTGGACACGGGTGGGTGGAAGGAGACTCAAAAGGTAGGGATAGCACCTGGCCATGAAGAGCTTTGAAACAAAAACAAAGGTCTTCTTGACTCCAAGACTAGCATTTTACTCACTATTCCTCATATAACTGTGATCTTTTTCCTGGCTTCTTTAAAGATTCAGGTGGCCAGTCACTTATGTCTACGTCTTCTAAGTTTTCCTTCTACTCTGTGTGTATCCTTAGAGTTAACTACTTCTTGACATGTTCTCTCCCTCATTACCATGTAAATTCCCTGAGGTAGGGACTTTTCATTTTTGCCTTTCTTTGTATTCCAAGTGCTTAGGCACAATGCCTGGCACAGAGAAAGCACTTGATAAATGTTTGTGGATTTACTGATTATTCCTCTCTCACCTCTGTGTATTGTGTATTGTATTGTGTATTGTGTATGAGAGAGAGAGAGAGAGTGTGTGTGGGTGTGTGTGTAGACACACACAAAATAAACCAATCAATTTTTTTTTTTGGAACTTTAGTTAGGATCTCCAGAATGTGTACATTTGTACAACAAACATTGCGAACTATTGACTTAAGCTAATAAAAACTTGAAAAAAATACAAATAGTATTTTGCTACAAATTATCAAAACCCACATGGGGCTTGTACTAAGAAGACAAAGAACAGGGAGCCCAGGTGCTGCTATTTCCCCCCTATTAGGATCTTCACAGATCACGTCAGCGGAGCCAAGTAGTATTCAGCTGTGTCTGCTTCTTGATACTTGTATCCATTTTTAGTACTTCTCGAATAGCCATTGTTGCATATGTTGAAGGAGGCAGGGAGAAATCCATCTTCAGGGCCCTGTATTTGCCTTCTGTCACCCAAGAAAGAAGAGAAGAGTCAGGAAAATAAAGGCAGCTGCAAATGAGCTGGAGGGTCACATAATCTCTATACACAGACCAACAAAAAATGGTAGCAATTCCCTACTCTTCCAACTATCAGAATGCCTTATTGTACTGGGGCAGCCCTCTGGTGCTTCTGTATGAGACAGAAGCATGGAGGAGAGATCTGTAAATGTACACTCTTAGGTGAGTATCTATGGTAATTCTACCTCTGAACTCTCTTGGCACCTCATAGTGCCAGAAGAACAAGGAATACATAGAAAACAAAAGTGTGAGGATGATCTTGAAGTGAAATAACACAGTTTTTCTTTTAATTGGGGCATAATAATAAACAAAAAATTAATTCACAAGGGAAAGGTTCAAGGAGAGTCAATTTTGATGTCAAGAAGTGGAAATCCAGTTCTGAAAACTGTTCCTGGCCTCCCACCAACATTTGTTGCTCTCTAGGGCAGATACAATTCTACCTCCTGTATCACTTACTCATCCTATGCTACTCTTAATTACTTTCTCATTGGCTTTTGTGTTAGTTCCAAACAACTGTCTACTGGTCCAACCGACGATGCAAGCCACTCTGATATATAAAGTACAGCATAAAAGGCTTGAGAGAATATGATTTATAGGATGGTTGAGAGATTCTGACAAGAGTGTTATGAGTTAAATCAGAAATTTGGTCCACGAACATCATACTATGCCAACTTTGTTCTTTGTTTTGCCATGACGGCCCATTATGAGCTAATGGCTAAGCAGTATAAAAGATTGGAGAAAGAACTTCCCAGTAATATTCATGCCCACATCAATCGCTTATTATTCTATATACTTGGCACTCATCACTATTTTTTGCTTTGTGTTTCTAAACCACTAGAAAAGAGCCCCCTATTTTCAAAATGACGACTTATCTAGATAAGCGTGCACCTGGGCCAAAATGACTCCATCTCAAATAAAACGCTTTTGCATCTTTTTGTTTAGTAGCACAAGCAGCAAACATTGCAATCTTTGGCAAATCCAATTCTGAAACCTTGTGTTCCTAGCCTTCCACCATTATGATGCTCAAAGATTCCAAAATATAGATCTAGGAGAGACGAAAACAGATAATACTTTACTTCTGCTCCACTGCTTCAGAACCCCTGGGGAAGCAAATACTGCTGGCTGGCACACTTCAGAAAATGGATTCATCCTGTGTAAAAGGGGAAATCTGGGAAAGCCATTTTCAGAACTGTTACGTGCTTATGTATCCCAATAGGTTGCACTCAACTCAGACTCTGAAATTTGCATCATCTCCATTTCCAGACCTTCTGAGGCCTCATTCAGCTGTAAATAATAATATCCTTAGAGAAATCTCATTTGGATATAAGGCTTAAGTTTTGTACATGCATTCACCGTCCTCTTCCCTCCCTCATATGGTATATAGCCTGACCTGAGGATCACTCATTTGGAGAGGGATTTGCCATTTAGTATAGGGGAAAAATCCTTCAAACCCAGAAAAAAATCTCTAATTCAGTCCTGTGTTTCAGCTACTGATGTCTAGCCAGAATTATGACACTGGGGTAGAAAATTGCAGAAGAGAAGCTATTGCATGGGCTGACAAAAGCAGCTGACACCTTGATCATTTCACAGAAATTTTTTTGATACGTGAGAAAATCTGGGGGATGCATAAACTTGGCATGGTAAAAGGAAGGTAACCATGCCACTGAGAGGCAGTTTAGGAGAGTTCAAACAGCCAGGGACCTGGGCGTGAAAAGACCTGCATTCAAGTCCCGACTCTGATAACGTATGACTAATGTCAAGTTAATTAACTTCCCTGAGCCTCTGTCTCCCCATCCATAAAATGAGGATAACGATGCTATCGCATTAGGGTCACTGGAGGAAAGTGCCTTGTAAATGTTAAAGTTTTGTACAAACAGGGGTTCTAATGGAGACATTCTGTATCCAGCACAGCCAGATTGTAGGCAGAGAAGGTGTAAAGCAGAAACCTAAAATTAAAAACCTTAAGCCACCAACACAGAAAGCTAAAAAGGGAATGCTGGTAAGAGAGAAAGAACTTGAGCAAAGCTCCTTAATTTGGAGCTGCAAGGGACCTCAACAGGGATTTTGAACTCGACAAATGGCCAGACTTGCAGAACATTCATGGCAGGTCAACCCCAGTGGAGTACCCTGGGAATCTGTGCTCGGCCCTGTGCTGTTTAACATTTCTTATCAATCATTTGGATAAAGGCACAGATGACAAGCTCATCAAACATGCAGTGGAAACGAAGCTGGGAAGGACAGCTAAAACACTGGCTGACAGAGTGAGGATCCAAGAAGTGACAGGGTGCAGCACTGGACCAAATCCAGTAAGACGAAATTCAGGGGAGGTGTAAACGTAAAGTCTTTCTCTTTGGTTCAAAAAAATAACTTCCAAGTTTTGGGAGAGAATGGGTAGACAGCAGTTTGTCTGAAAAAGATCTAGTGACAGCTAGTGGTACAGTAGATAGAGCACCGGCCCTGGAGTCAGGAGGACCTGAGTTCAAATCTGGCCTCAGACACATAACACTCACTAGCTGTGTGACTCTGGGCAAGTCACTTGACCCCAACTGCCCTCACTAAAAAAAAAAATGTGATTGAAAAAGACCTACGGGTTTTTGTCAATTGACAAGTTCAACCAGTCAGCAGTATATGGCACCAAAAAGAAAAAAAATTCGGGGGGGGGACAGCTAGGTGGCAAAGTGGATAAAGAACTGGCCCTGTAGTCAGAAGGACCCGAGTTCAGACGTGACCTCAGACACTTGACACTTACTAGCGGTAAGCGGGCATGTCACTTAATCCAGACTGCCTTGCCAAAAAAATAATAATGAATTCTGGGCCCATTAAGCGAAGCAGAGCTTCTAGAAGAGGCATGAGTTCTTCTGCCCCCTGTCCTTGTCAGATCATATTTAGAGTATTATGTTCAGTTCTGCGCAATATAGTTTAAGGACAATGATAAACTGAAGAACACCCAGGAGAAGCCAATGAGGAAGAGGAAGGGCATTTAGGTCACGTCATAGGAGGACTTGTTGAAGGAAAGAGACATGCTTACCCCAGAGAAAAGGAGACTCAGGGGGACACAATAACTCTCTTTCCAAACCAGATGGACTACTGTGTATCAGAGGGATTAGATTTATTTTGTTTGGCTCCAGGGAGCAGAATCAGAGGCAATGGGTGGAATCTGCAGAGACCAAATTAAGCCTGATGTGAGGGAAACTTCCTAATAACTAGGAACTTTGCGAAAAGATAGATGGGCCTCCTTGGAGCTAGACACGGGGGTGAGCAGGTGGGGTAGATGCTTGGAGTTCTCCTCTCACTGGAGGTCTTCAGACAGAACCCAGATGACCATTTGTCTGGGATGCTGCCGTAGGGAATCCGTTCAGGGAGAGGTTTGACTACACGGCCAATGAGATTCTTTCCCACTTTAAAATGCTGCAATTCTGTGAAATTCATCTGGTTCAACTCCTAAATTTTATGAAAGAGAAACTATGTCCAGACTTGTCCCAAGCTACAAAGAGTAACTGCAACAGGGGTATTGAGAACCTTATTATACTTTTTCAGATTGTTTTTTGTTAAAAGAAAGAAAGGGAGAATGCTTTCAATGTAATATTAGTACTACTGAAAGTGGTTGTTATCATTATTACTGTTTAATGTGGTCTTCAGTTACAAAGCTGTAACAAGCATATTGAGTTTATGGGGAGGCAGGTGGGAGACAGAGGGGTGGGCCTCAGAGTTAGGAAGACCTGGGTGTAAGTCCCGACTTTGACACATACTGGCTGTATGATCCTGGGCAAGTCACCTAACTGATTATCCTTGGACCACCGGCACTTTGAAGATGCACAATAATTGCTGACAGGGATCTGCAAAGGGAGTTTCTCTGCCAGAAGTTCCTATGCAGAAATCAGGTCCAGACCAAATAAGTATATATTAATTTGTTGGTCTTTTGATTCAGCTTCTTTCAATTTATACCACTTAAATCAAGCCTTCCCGTATTTTCTTGAATTCTTACATTGTTCCTTATGGTTTATAATGATAATATATAGTGTTTTCAAGTTTGCTAAGTACTTTACATGTTATCTCATCCAATTCTCACAATAACCCTGTTTGGCAGGTCCCATGATTAACAGCTTTTTACATAAAATTGAAGAAAGAGATTGAGAGAAGATAAGTAACATCCCTGGGATCTCAGGGGTAGGTAGTGAGCACCTGAGGCAGAATCTGAACACAGGTCTTTCTGACTCTAGGTCCAGCACTCTACCCACTAGGCCAACTTAAGTCATATATGACCAAAATTAGTCAGTCTTTTTCTAACCACTAGACACATAGTTTCCAACCTTTTGCTATTACAAGTAGCACCATTATTGACTTTTTTAATATAGAAAGATATTTTCTTCCTGTCAATCTACCTGGGTATAAACCTAGTACTCATATTGCTAAGTCAAAAGGTAAGAAGAAAGTTGTACCTTTTCTTGTACAATTCCAAACTGTTTCCAAAATGGCCATACCATTCTTTCAACCACTGGCTCGCTCCTTTGCCCATAACACCCTGGATTTGTCCTAGAGGGGGAGTGAGAACATTTTCTTTGCCTCCACTGGCACCTTCAGACTTTCTCTTTACCACCATCACATCATTCAGCACTCTCTTCTCTAAAGTTCACAATATCAGAGGTCTCCATCCAAGCTACAGCTCAAGTCATTCTTTTTTTTTTTTCTCAGGGAGGTCAGCACCTGACCCACCATTTTGCTCTCCTTTTCCTCATACTACATGACTTCAGCATCCATGTTATGCTCCCTTACCCTCATAAGCTCTCAATTCTTTAGTCTCCTTGTAACCACAACCCAACTAGAGATGGGGATGGTCACTATTACCAACAGGTGCTCTACTCCTCTCTAATGAAAAACTCTGACATTCCTTTTTCTGACCCCAAATCCATCTCTTGCTATAATCTCACTCAACCAGATTACTCCCACCATCTGCCTCTTCTGCTCCTACTCATGGGACGCTGAATGGAGCCAGAGGGATAAATTCATGTTGTCTGACTTCAAATGGGCTCTGACTAAAGCAAGACAATCCTTCTCTTCCCCCACTCCATTCCCCATCTCACTCCCCACAAAAGCTTTTCCAAACATTCTCTTCACTCAAGCCTCCTATATCTCCCCCACTCTCTTCTCTCTCAGCTAAAGACCTTTCCTCTTACTTTTTTGAAAAAAATTGAGGCCATTCAACATGAGCTCTCTCTTCTTCCATTCCGTTAATCTCTCCTTTCTCACAATGTCTAACTATGAGGTGGTCTTTCTCTTTGCCAAGGCCAATTCTTCCATCCTTGTTCTCATCTCTTTCTGTTTTCGCCATAGGACTGCAACCTCAATAATCCCTTTAATCTTCAGCTTTTTCTTATCTACTACCGTCAAACATGCCTCTCCCATCCTTAAAAATCTTTCATTAGTCACTACGATCTCCTAAACCATAGTCCTACATCTTTCTTCCCTTTCTCAGCCAAACTACTACAAACAGATGCCTATACTCACTGCTCACTCCTTAATCATTTGCAGGTTGGCTTCTGGCCTCACCGCTCACTTGAAACTGCCCTCTTGAAACTGCTCTCGATGAAGCCATCAGTGATCCCTTAATTACCAAATCTCCTTCCAAAGCCCTAAGTAATTCCTTAATGACTAAAATATGGTGCTCTTTTTTTTTCAGTCCTTATCCCTCTAGGCCTCTCTGCTGTATTTGAAACTGCAGGCCATCTTTCTTCCTGGGCTTTCCTGATATTATGCCCTCCTGGTTCTGCTACCTAACCATTCTTTCTCAGTCTTTTGCTGGTTCATTATCCCCACCACACCCTTTAACTGTGGGTATCTCCCATGGCTCTGTTCTAGGTTCCCTATTCTTTCTTTACACTTTCTCTCAGTAACCTCATCAGTTCCCACAGGCTCGATTACCCTTCTATGCCAATAACCCTCAGATTTGATTTAAGCATAGAAGACAGTGTTGAGTGGAATTGGCTGACTATGAATTCAAAATTAGAGAAAGAGGGAACGTCAGAGCAGGGATAAAGGCCTGAGAAGGCACTAAAGGGCAAAGGTCTCAGTGAGGGCAAAGAATGGTTTTGGGGTGAGTGAGACATAGCAAGAGATGACATGATAGGAAGTTAGGGTCAAAGAGAAGAATGTCAGGAGTGGAACACTTCCAGGTAATGTGAGATCCATATCTATATACCCCGTACAGTTTCTCCCCTGAGCTTCAGTCCCATATCAAATGCTTATTAGATAATTTCCAACTGGTGTTCCAAAGACAAGTCAATGTGCCTAAGATAAAATTCACCGTCTTTCTCTCCGAACCCACCCCTCTCCCAAACTTCCCTACTTCTCCTGAAGGTACCACCAATCTTCCAGTATCCCAGGTTTGCAACCTTGGTGTTATCCTCCACTCCCTTTACCCCACATAATCAATCAGTCGCTAAGTAGCGCTGTTTCTACCTGCACACATCTCTCACATCCAATCCTGTTCCTTTACTCACAAGCTGGCACCTTCACCTCTCACCCAGACTTTTGCAGTGTACTCCTACTTAGTTTCCCTGGCTCAAGTCCATTCTCCACACAGCTCCCAATGCGGGATTTTCCTTATGCAAAGATCTGACTGTGATATTTGCCCCTACTCAATAAACTCTAGAATCAAATAGAATCTCCTCATTATAACATTTAAAGCCCTTCACAACCCTGCTAACATATCTTCACAGTTTCTCTGCAATCCAGCCAAACTAGCCTTCCTTACTGTTCCTTACTCATGACATCTCATTTCCCATATCTGGGCCTTTGTACTATTATTCATCATGCCCCAGAATGCAAACTCCTTAAGGGCAAGCACCACAGTGCGTAACAGCTTAAAAAATGCTTGCTAATTGCCTGAATTAATATGCCTGTTCTCTTCCAGTATTGATTTGTCCATCAATCACCTTTTCTGATTTGACTAGAATAAAGGGATACCTCAAAATTGTATTTCTTAACTGCACAAGGGAGAAGGGTCTAAATCAGGGGTAGGGAAACCTGTGGCCTCGAGGCCACAGACCTCTAGGTCCTCAAGTGCAGCCCTCTGACGGAATCCAAACTTCACAGAACAAATACTGCCAGGTTCCCCACCCCCAGTCTAAATAGAACTGAAAGCCATTTTGTCTTTTTCAATTTTTTTTTTCATTTGCTGCCAAGAGTTCATCACCAGCCACTGGTGATAAGCTATTTAGCAGAAACTACCATATCATGAAGAAATAGAAAGGTAGAATTTTTGTAAGAAAATAAATTTATAATTGGAAAAATTCCAGGCAATGTACAGGAATTTTTTTTTGGGGGGGGGAGGTGGTAGAGAGGAGAAGAAGAGTATTCCCAGAACACTATCAAAGAAGGAGCCAGTCTGAACACATATTTTCTCTTCTCCCCTACCCTCTAGCCCCATTGGGTTTTGGGCATCATTCAGAACAGCAGCCTCCCTCCTTCCCCATCTATCTAGGTGCTCCCAATCACAGACTCCCAGTCTTTTTCTGCTGGCTCAGCTGTCACTCTGTTCTGCTACCCCCTAGGTGATTTTAGTTCCAGGAACACCACTTCAGCCATAGTCCCACTCAAGGTCAGCCTCATCTAAGCCACAGCATTTAGCCCTTGGGAGCTCAGGTGGGACAAGATGAGTTGTGCTTTCAACACAGTGAATACCCTCCTCTGAGCCACTAATTTCTATTCATTTATGAAGCTGACCTCATAATTTATAGCAACAATAATATAACAATTGTTATTAAAATGCTCACAATTTAGAAGTGGAGGTAACCCCACTTACCAGCAGCAAACACAGGTGGTGGTTTTCCTTCTAGGTTGTCCAAATCTGTGTTGAAAAGTGGAATTCTAGGATCATCGTAGGAAACAACCTCCCTTTAAAAATATATACATGAGGGCATTAATTTGAATACAAAGTCTCATTTGGGATAAGAAGTACTTTACTCTTAAATCTTCAAAGTAACCAGGTGGATGAATTTAAAATACAACATAAAATTATAGATTTGGAGTAAGAATTGGGGTAAGTTTCAAACATACCTCCATTGAACAACTGGCCGGATGACAGGCATTAAAGTATTTTAAAATGGATTAAAATACAAGAGTTATCTTCCTGCCTCTCTGCCCCCTCTCATCCACCAGTCTATGGAAGTCTATGTTATAAGACATAAAATATTCCTCCAGGTTGCAAGTTCTTGAGGAAAAACCTCACTAGAGAGTACCTCTCTCTGAAACAGCACAGGAGGAAGTAGGTATTGAATAGCAGCATGATCTGGACATTAATATTAGGTCTTTGACCTGAAACCTTCAATAGGCGAGAACAGAAGAAAAACAGCCACTGGAAAAAGTATGAAACCTGCTTTATTCTTCTAGTCAATCTCAAATTTCTAGTGACCTGGAAATTAGAAATTCAAGATTTCAATATGTTGATTACTAGAAATAAAGTTTTTGACAATGACATGCATTTAAGTATTTTTAAATGGATTAAAATACAAAAGACATTTTCTTCCTGTCTCTCTGTCCCCTTTCACCCATGGGGTACCTGACACAAAAAGTACTAGATGAATTCTTAAAACTATTATAGCCAATTTGGAATATGAGGATTCTTTTTCTTATAAATTATTAAATCAAACTTAGGTTTTCCACAGCAGGGAAAGACTTGATCGTCTATACATCTCTTATATATAATTTAATAATGTTATTCTACCATTAAGTAAGTCTCCTTTGCACCTGTCTGGCATTCTAAATGAGTTTATTTGTTTTTAGGTTTATGTACATTAAATCGCAAAAATATGAAAAATTCTTCTACGTATTGTAAACATTACAGAGTGGACACAATTCGATTCCATTCGACTCCAAAATATTACTCACCAGCTGACATTCTGAGGGCGAATAATGATCTTTCGGTAGGCACCTGATAAGGAATAATCTCGGATTTTATGTTTCATGTTGTCAATCTTTAGATGGTCGGCAGCTAGCATTTCCTTATAAGTCTCACTAACTAAAGCAGAACAAAAAAGAATCAAATGGAATGTAGAGTAACATGTTAAACCAGTATGCGAAGGATTAAAAATAAGTTTCATTGGACCCCATCCCCTTTGGACAAAATCCATCTCATTCTGTAAATATTAACACATTCTTAGCATTGCATAAAAATGTGTCTTCAAACTACCAGAATGAGAACTCCTAGAATTACACCATCCCAAAGTAAGAAAAATAAAAAACTTACTATTGGTTTATATTCCAAAATATGTTATTGATTAATTTTCTGAAATTAGAACACATTTTCTCATCCACATGCAGGTTAAACTAGATGGCTTCTGAGTCAGTCTATGCTAGACAGAGCTGGGGCTTGAACCCAGGTATTGCTGGTTTCCAGACCAACTCTCTATCTCCTAGAGCACACTGCCTCTCAACCAGGTTTAGAACAGCTATGTATTTGGGCCTAGTAAGACATCACTGATATATCTGATTCCCTATGCACATCCTCGCAGATCCATATCCTCCAGACTAAAAAATCCAGCACTGCTATCAAAGAGCCAATACTGGGACCTAGCAAACACAGTGAGGAGGAAGCTGATCACCACCTTTTCCTCTGCTCCCCTTCTAGTTTGGAGGTGTATTAGCTAAAACTCCATTAGAAGGAAGATGAAAGGGCTGTCAAACAAGATTTTGATCTTTTTTTAAACTAGAGTACCTCATGGTCATGGAGGGGCAAGGGAGAGGGAGGATTTTCTGCATAATCAGAAGCATAAGTAAGGCTTTCTGACCTTGAAACCAAAGCAGCATCCTCAATAAGCAGCATTTACCTTGTGACTGTTCCTTCAATCATTTAAATGGCATTTATAAAAATGACAGTTTACAGAGAAAGATTCTTGAGACTATTATAACAGCATAATCAACAGCAAAAGAAGACAACTTCCATTAGGAGTAGGGAATATGCACTCTGGAATATAGTGAACAGTCATTTTTTATTCATCTTCTATCACTATATGGGGTTATCCCGGAAGTCTTAGTGCAGTTTCAATCTTTAACAGCATTAAGACTTCTGGAATACCCTGTATTTTGCTAGCAGAACCCCTTGGCGCTGAAACTGCCAAATATAAATTCCTGGGTCATTTGTATTGCTTTGGGGAACAATAGTTATTCAATATTTTGTTCAATTTCCTTTTTTTAAAAAAAAAAACAACTCTTTTCCTTTGGTGTTAATGGAATTATAGAAGGGACAAGGAAATTCAAAATATAGAGCACCAGGGCTAGAGGTTGAGGTATTTAGGACAGAAATTCAGCTCTGTTCTTGCAGATCAAATCCTGTTTCCAAGAACTCCAAACACTTCTGTAGCACTTAAATTTAGTCATATACTAAGCCTGCAGGGTAAAGGATTAAAGTAGATCAATGGTTCTCAGTTAGTGGTTGGGGTTTTTTCACCGATGGTCCAAGGGGTTCATGCTAAAAATTCTTTAATAACACTTTAAGCGGTCAATTATTACACAATTATTATGAGAGTCATGTTAAATATTCCCAGGGATTCACTGAACAGAAAACACTGGGAACCAGTGAGGTAGTTATAACATATTGACTCTTGGAAGTAACAAGTTCAGATTTCTACACTAATTCCCTCCCTTTTAATAACTCCCTATTTATTCTGTACGTAGCTTGGTTTGTATATATTTGTTTGCATGTCATCTCTGCAATTAGACTATAAGCTCCTTGAAGGCAGAGACTGTCTCTGCCTCTTTCTGTATCCCTAGTATTCAGCACCGTGCCTGGCACACGGTAGTCACTTAATGAATGTTTATAGAGGAATGAATGAATTCTAGAGAGGAATAGGTTAGGGAGCACTTTATTTCTAAATAAAGACGCATTTTATTGACTTTAATTCACCTTTCAGCAGAGGCCCATATGATAATTGTCTCTGCCCTTAAAAAAAAGTCCTCCAAACACAACTAATTAAAGAAAATCACATCAGGATTATTTGCTTAGTCCTTAATAATTACTTTTTAAAAAATAATAAATTTCCCTACTAGTTTACTAGTTTACTCTGTTAAACTGCAAGAATAAGAAAATTTACATTAGCTAGTTCCTGATTAACTTTAACTAACTGAAAAGTGAATCTGTAACATAAAGGTCACAAAGAGGCTTTGTATACATGCTAGTGCTTAATAAATACTTCATTCATTCATTCATTCCAACAAATAATTATTTAGCAGCTTTGGAAACAATGTTATTTTACATCTACTTGAGTTTGGAAGAGATTACAGTCTGGGTCCCCAAATCAGCATATTAAAGTTAAAAAACTAAAGCAAGTAAATTTCTTTTGCCCTCCCCCTTAGCTTCGGAAAATTTGGCAGGTGGCTAAGAACTAAGAGAGCCTAATCATCTTGCTCACCATGTTATTCCACACATATTTTTAATTTCTTAAAAATAAAACAAAAGGGGCAGCTAGGAGGCGAAGTAGATAGAGCGCCAGCCCTGGAGTCAGGAGGACCTGAGTTCAAATCTGACCTCAGGCACTTGACACTTACTAGCTGTGTGACTCTGGACAAGTCACTTAACCCCACTGCCTAGCAAAAAAAACCAAACCAAACCAAACCAAAAACCAAAAGAGGAGCTTACTTTTATGCTTAGGGTAGAGAACATCAAAACCAGGTAAAGGCATCACCACATCGTGAATGGAGTAGGAATTAATGTCTGCTTCCTCAATATATGTGGCTGTAGCTGCAAGTTCACAAATATGTAATCATTTAAGCATACAAGAAATATTCTCATCTCAGGCTTCTGAAATTAGCTATATTATGGGTAAGCTCGGAAAAGGGTGTTTTAAGAAAGAGGATCACAGCTACTTTTCTTTTTTGAAAAGAGCCCATCTGGACACTGGTTAATGATTACAAGGCATTATAAAAGCTTTCAGAGGAAAGGAATGCTGTTGTGGCATTTGTTTAACGGCTTTTCTAAATGACCAGTTTTTTAAATCAGCAATCTTTTTTATTAATTTATTTTATCAACAATCACTTCCATAAGCTTTTGAGTTTTAAATTTTTCTCCCCCTCCCTCCCTAAGATGATGTGCAATCTGATATAGGCTATACATATACATCCCTATTAAACATATTTTCACATGAGTGATGTTGTAAGGAAGAATTAGAACCAACAGGAGGAACCACAAGAAAGAGAAAACAAAACAAAACAGAAGAAAAAATAGCAAACAGTATGCTTCTATCTGCATTCCAACTCCACAGTTGTTTCTTTGGATGTGGACAGCATTTTCCATCCTAAGACCTTTGGAGATTTAAATCAGTAATTTTAAAATGGAATCAAACTGACCAAAAATCTGTCAAAGAATTCTGAACTCATTAAAACAAAGCTTCATAATAAATAAATAATAAAATAAAAGGACCCTATTATGTAAAGCTGTAACAGATGAATGCAATGGGGGAGGAGAAAAGGGGTTAAAGGAAAGTCAGTTTGTCTTAAAAGGATAAAGTAAGGACCTACCTCCACATTCTAAAATAATGTTTCATAAGAATAAATCACTTCATTGAGTAGGGCTTAAAATTTAGTTCTTTACTAGTTATTTAGAGATGAAATTTCTATCCTAAAGGAAGGGTTGTCCGATGCCATGTAGATCAGAGATTTCTGCTGTCTGGCACACCTGTGGCCATCATGAGACAAGCAATATGAAGGGAACGCCCCAGCGTGAGTTAGTCTTCAAGCCAAATCTAGAACCATAGTCTAGAACTAGAGACTGTGCCACAGTTCTTATTGGTTGGGAAAACTCAAAGTGCCCAAATACCAGAAAAGTGTTTTAAGATCCTCACACAAACCTGCACTGGATAAAATAGTTTACAGCCCATTAGACTTCATGTTTTTAAATACCAGACACATGCCTCCTCAACTCAGTTGCCAGGCTAAACCTAAAGCTATTTAGTGGTAACCTAGCAACAGTATGTTCCAAGGCCAGGAGCAAAAGACAGAGGCTGACAACTTTTCCTTTTTACCTCCTTTAAGTATGAGATCCCCTGGAACAGGCTTCAGTCCATACTCTTCAATTCTCTTGCTCACCATGTTATTCCACACATAACTCTGATAACTATGAATATACATCAAGCGGTTATTTCTTGGTATCTGCAGAGAGGAAGAAATCAGCAAAATCAACAAAAATGAGAGAAGAAATCAGACATGGAAGGCATCTTTGAAATCATCTTAAGGGTTCTTAAACTTTTTTCATGTCCATGGACCCCTCTGACAAACTGGTAAAGCTTAGGGAGCCTTTCTCAGAAAAATGTATTTAAGTGCATAAAATAAAAATTTTGTAAGCTCAAAAGTAAACCTATTATCCTGAAGTAGTTACCAGAATATTTTAAAGAAACAAGTTCACAGACTATAGATTAAGAACTTCTGAGAGATGATCATGACCATTACTTGTTTATTGATTGCTGTTCCTTTACATACTAAATTCTTACCTTTCAGGCTGCAAAAAAATTCCCCAATCCCTAATTCTCACATCTATAGAAGTCTGCAAACAATTAACATTAATCTTCTTTTTATAGATGGAGATGCAGAAAAGCTGAAATTGTACAACAGTTATTTTCATCAGCTAATGATAAGGCTGATGAATTGTTTGTAGGTTACGTTCAAATATACCACTACGGTGATTTTAAAAAATTGTTATTTATTTTAATTTTAATTTAGTGACTTTAAGAAAAAGAATTTATAAATGTATGGCAAACCTAACAGGGCTTTCATCACCACATTCTAAGATGTTTCTAAGTGAAAAAATACAAGCAATTTCACTAATAATGAGCTCAATGAGGCAACCAAATGGCTTTCTGTTTGCCACACATGGAAAAGAGACACCAGTACTCAAACAGAGATTAGAGAGATCTAAACATCAGGTGAAGTTCATCTCATAAAGCTATCATGATTTTACCAGATGCTTAACATAGAAAGCAAGAAGAGGGCAAAAATATGCCTTCAGTTTCATTTATGACAAATGTAAATTTGTTTCGTTTCAGACACATCTTTTTAGTTTACCAAGAGCCCCTCCTCTTTTTTAGTTCTAACAAGGGAAACACAAATACCTGTGAGCCAAACCCTCAATGACAGAAGGTCTGGATTCTACAACTTTCTATTTTCTAAACTACCAAGAAAGTCTATCTAATAGTGGAAAGCATATGAAATTAATCAGCTATAAAATGTCCATTAGTATAGACTGCTTTTCCATACTGTAAGTCTCTTGAAGCCAAATGGTACTATTTTTAGCCTCTGTATACCAAGTTCCTAGCACACTACATTACATACAGTAGATAGTCTTAAAGTGTTTACTGAATTGAATTAAAATAATTTTATCCATTTGTATTTATGACTAAAAATAAATTATATAAATTCACCTCCCAAGTGACTTTTTCTTCTTTACCTCTAGCTCGTAAAAACCCCCCAAAACCTCCCAAAACAAAAAACAAACAACAACAACAAAAAAAAAAACTCTAACGGTCAGCACCTATAAGATTTGTTACACCTCTTAAAGTCATTGCCTAACTTCACAAATCACACTCACTATGCCAAATGCAGACACAATATTCTTCAGTCCATATTTTGAAAGTCCTCGAAGCAGCTGCCCTTCCACACACCTTTTGACAGGTAGTTTTTTGAGGGCAGCATCAGGATCTTTGGTCTTGGCCCACTCTTCTCGACATTTGACCAAGTACACCTTTTCGGCTGCAAAAACAAGTAGTAGACAACTTAACCCATATGAATCCTTCTAAATCTTTTTTAAATTTTTTTTGAATCCTTCTAAATCTTAAAATAAAATGCTCATCACAAACAAATATTTGGGAATTTCAACCAAAAACAGAGTCCTGTGGACCCATTTTACAGGACTAGTAAAAGGAAGAGCGCATATGGATTTTAAGTGACTGAGCAGACCACTGTGCTGAGAGCTAAAACAAAGTGGTACTCATATCCTAGCTGACTAAACAGGGATGTTTGCTTTTCTTTTCTCTCTGCTCTTTTAATCTAGTACTATTAAATTCATAGGGCAAGTTTTCTTTTAATGAAGTGATTAAGCCATCCATCATGGGATCTACACTTAAAGTTCAAAGAGGTCTTAGACATTTTCTATTCCAACCCTTTCATTTTACAGATGAGGAAAGAAGGGTCCAGTGATTAAAATCTGACCACCCTTACATAGCAAGTGGCAGTGCCAGGATTTTAACTCAGACAAGTCCTTATCATTCCAAGTTCGGTGCTTTTCCATTTTCTTTAGACCAGTACTACAAAATTAGCAAAAATGTTAGCACTGTCAACATAACTGTAAATTCAATATTTTTTACAAAGTCTAGTTTTAGGGAAATTTTTTTACAAAAATATTTTAAAGTATTCTTTAAAATAAATCCCCAGGCTTTACGGAACCATAAAGAATCAAAAGAATGAAGTTTCTCTGTATTTCTAATAAACGTTTGTTAACTGATCTATTGATTCTAATACTTTCTTAGAAGCACAGATTTCTTTTGTGCCTGAAAATGGACAGGCAGGTGTCCTTCCTGTAGCTGACACCTAACTATTCCTTCACGATGCCTAGAATGTTGGTGAAATTTGTCTGAGAGTCCTTGGCTAGAGATCTATTTAATCCCCAAACCAAAAGGGATGAAATATTTCTCAGTGATCAGGCCTTCAAGTTCATTAGCACTAAACTTGATGAAACTCTCCCAAAGAGCATACCATTGTGCTGAGAACTAAAACAAACTGGACCTTCTGAAAGCAAGGGACCATATGAAGTGATCACTGCATAAAGTCTCTATCACACTGCTCTAGACCTTGGCCCAAATGGCCATCATGATTTGGCCAATGAGCACACACACTACATCGCCCAAGGACTTCTCAAGTAAATTCCAGGTGTCTTGTCTATAACCCATGGAAGAGAAGGTGGGGAGAGAGGCAGAAGTCGTAGTAGGGTCAGGAAAAGTTGCTGACCTAGGCAAGGGATCTGACCCAAGTCTGGGAAGTAACTCCAAGGTCCCTTAAGGAATCCCATAAAAAGAACAAGGTATATATACAACCAAAAGGGGCTGTTTTCCACAATCACTGGCTCTTGATTAAGATGGGGCCAGTCAGCCTAATTGGATGTGAGGATCCCAATACTATCAAAGTTCTTCTACACAGCATATAGTTAAAAAAGGAAATGGACTGAACAGTATTTTATAGCAAACCATGAACTCTTACACAAAAGTCCTACTCTAAAGCATCATCATGGCACGGAGGTGACCCCTCAAAGGCTAGGCCAGTTGAGTGTGAACTCTGGGAAATCCCAACCAAGCTGGAAATGTTTCAATAATGGCACAACTCCAGTGACAAACTACCTTTGTCTGTCACCTAAAGACCAGCCTGGATAAATTTGGAGAGGTTCATCACCCGTTTGGCAATAGCAACTCTTGGAGATCATTTGCTAAGTCTCAGAACGACTTCACTCTGTGATAACATAAAGAGTATAAAATCATGGATCACTTCATTTTAACTACGAATTGTAATATTCATATAAATGGATCTATAATGAAATAAAGTTGTTTTTTAAAATAAGAAACAAAAGCTTATTTGCAAAAATGCCTTACCTCCAGGACGAGGTTTCAATATTAAATCTACAACTTCATCCCAGCAGTTTTGTAAGATGGCTCTGAAATTGAGCAGATCATTTACTTTACTAAATTTTGTATTATAATAAATTTCTTTGCATTCAGACTATGTGAGTGTCAAGGTATTTTATTTCCTTTGTTATAATACATAACAGTATGATAAAGGATAAACATGTAATGATAGATTCTAACAAAAAACGTAAAAGGATAAAATGAAGGAAGAAATGGTTCTAGTCGTTTAGCTTTTACACTTGGCTTTGCCCTAATTAGTACATCATAGATTTAAAAAGCTAAAGCACATTTATAGCATGCATTGCAATTATCTGGCATCAGTAGCTGTATGAAATGTTCTGGATAAATGGGATGAATCAGTGTTGACCCTAAGACACACCCTTTTTAAAATTTATTTTTAAGCTTTTATTTCCCGTTACATGTGAAAACAATTTTTAACATTAAAACATACTCTTAAACTTATTTCTTCTAATAAATAAATTCCTGGTGATATAACTGATTTCTTGCCATTTACTTCATTCTCATTGTCTACAGAATATGCAAAGTAACATAACTTCTTTCTGGAAAATTAGGCATTAAATTAAAGGCTGAAAACAGCTTTCTCGAAAATTTTCTTTTTCTTAAAAAAAATCACCACCTCCACTTTTCCTTATTAGTGTGCTCTGACATTTTAGCACATGTTTCAAACATTCCTTTTCAATAATCCCTGCATCCTCCTAGTCTGTTTCAATTTATTCTTTACTTGTGTTGAATAAACTTCATGAGAAAGAATGATTACCTACATGTCTTTAGGATATTGCCACTAAGAACCATTAAAGTCAGATTTTGTGTTTTCACAACCAAAATAAAAAACTGTATTCCATATCTTTAACTTCTCAAGCACCTGTGACTGGGTGTGAAGAGATTTGGGCTTAAATCCTACTTCTGTTACTAACTAGCTCTTTTCTAGAGTGGAAAAGGCTACCCTTACACCTAACAGTAACATTACTAGGCCTATAAACCTGAAGAGAGAAAAAAAAGTAAAAAGATAAATTTTGTGCTATGTGGACAAAAATATGTATAGCAGCTCTTTTTGGAGTGGCAAAGAATTAAAAACTAAGGGGAGACACATTAGTCAGAAAATGGCTGAATAAATTTTGTATACAATGTAATGAGATACTATTGTGCTTTAAGAAATTATGAAAGGGATAGCTTCAGAGAAAAAACCTTGGAAGATCTGTATGAAATGATACTGCATGAAGTAAGCAGAACCAGGAGAACAATTTATACTATAACAATAACGTTATAAAAATAAACTGTGAAAGACTTAAGAGCTCTGATTAATGCCGTGCCCTGTGATGATTACAGAGGACCCATGATAAAGCATGTTTACCCATCCTCTGACAGGAAGGTGATACACTAACCATGCAGAATGGAACATACTCTTTTGGATATGGTCAATATGGGATTTTGTTTTGCCTAACCATGCATATTTGTTATAAAGATTTTTTTTTGGCGGGGTGGGTGAGAGGATGAAAAAATAATGCTTAATAGCTTTTTTTAGTTAATTTTTTAAAATGTTAAATGGTTGTAAGATTGTCCCTTCCAGTTCTCAAATTCTGTGATTTTAAATAGCTGTCCCATGTACTGTATCATTCTCATTTTTTTTTTTACTAAAAAGAATCATGAGTCAAAGTATAAAAAGAATTCCCAATCTTGGTCTTGTTATACTCTTAGCTGTCAAAAATTATTTCAAAAATTCCTAAATAGCTATTCCCCAAATGATAAATGGTCAAAGGATATTAACAGGCAGTTTACAGAAGAAGCAACCAAAGCTATCAATAATCATATGAAAAAATGTTCTAAATCACTATTGATTAGAAAAACGCAAATTAAAACAACTCTGAGAAACCACCTCATACCTACCATAGTGTCTAACATGACAAAAAAGGAAAATGACAAATGCTGGAGGGGATGTGAAAAAACAGATGCATTGTCTATGAAGTTGTGAACTGGTCTTACCGTTCTGGAAAGAAATCTGGAACTATACCCGAAGGGCTATAAAATTGTGCATACCCTTTGACCCAGCAATACCACTACTAGGTCTGTATTCCAAAGAGCACAAAGAAAAACAGAAGGGTCCCAAAAGAACAAGAATATTTATAGCAACTCTTTTCTGTGGTGGCAAATAACTCTAAATCAGCTGGGGAATGGCTGAACATGATTGTGATAAAATACTAGTCTGCTATAAAGAATGATGAAGGATATAGTTTCAGAAACACCTGGGAAGATTTATAGTGAGCAGAACCAGAAGAATATTGTAGACAGTAACAGCAATATTGTAATGATGGACTAACTGAAGTACAATGATCAATACAATGATCAGTGATAATTCCAAAGGAGTCATGAAATATGCAATCCACCTCCAGATAGAGAATTAATGAATTCTGAGTACAGAGTGAAGCATATTTTTTCACTTTATTTTTCTTACTTTTTTTTTGCAACATGGCTAATATGGAAATATGTTTTGCATGTATAATAGGTATCATATCGCTTACCTTCTCAATGGATAGGAGAGGGACTAAAGGGAGGGAGAGATTTTGGAACTCAAAGCGTAAAAAAGGAAAGCTTTAAAAATAATTAATTTTTTTAATGTCTTCAGCACCTAAAAATAAATTCTGATTTATCTTTTATTTAAAAAATACATGTATTCCATATAACACTTTTAGGGAAGGAGAGGAGGAAAAGGAAAGATCTGTCAAAATTCTGAGATAGTTGGGAATTGTTGTTTGGTAAGAGTATGTGGGATAAGAGGCAAAAAACCCTGACAAAGGAGAACCTTATCCAAGATCAGGCTCCAAGAGATCAAACAGTTAAGTGATGTGCCCCACGTGACATGGCAAACAAGAAACAGATCCATGGAAACATTAAAAGCTTCTACCATTTCCTCTTTCTACTACCATCTTCCAAAAGGCATTAAAACAGATTTTGAAACAAGATACCTTTTAAGATAAACAATGGGAAATAAAGAATACTAATTAAACACAGACCTTCCAACCTGATATGTGGGGACAGCTGTAGTCCCAAAACGCTGCATCCCATAGTAGTTAATGAATCCAATTTCCTTGAGAGAGTTCATTGCTTGCTGTACTTGATGGTCAGTACCTGTTATATTTCTGCAAGGATTGGAATCACCCAAAGAAAGTTTATTTCATGAACACTTGCAAGATCAGTTCACCATAAAATGATTCTGATTTTGGTCACTATTCCTCTCCTTTCCTTCAATTCCTTTCTTTTTATTTTGACTCCTTCCTTATTTAATATATTATTAAAAATGTTAAATATTTCTAAATTTTGTAACAGAAACTACAATTTCTATTGGAATTCTTCGTCTGCTTTTTTAGAGGAAAGGTATAATGGCAATTTTTAAAATAGCAATAACTTTTATGGGTCATTTCCCTCCTTATTATTCCTTTTCCCCTCCTTGAATCCCTTTGTACAAGTTAACCTAAATATGAGTCTTTTTTCTCTATCATTCAACACACTGACCAGGTAAATACCGGAGCGAGGATCTCTCTTCCTCCCGACAAGAGTTTTTTACCTGAGGACAACAGTGAACTGATTTCCTTGGAGTTCTCCCAACTTCAAAGGGTTTTTCTGATAGCTGAAGTTGCCCAGCTTGAAGTTCATTAAGCACTTGTTCAAATGGGCAAGTCTTTGTGCAGTTATTCTAAAAAGAGAAAGGCAAAGAGAAAGTCTTTGTTTCATCAGGAAATACTGGGCAGATGATGGGGAACTGAGGCCTAACCAATGTGATCATAGCCACTAAGAAAAGAAAGTGCAGCACAGAAAGGCAGAGAGGTCACATTTTTATTCGGGATATAAACCTTCCTGCAACTCACACCTACAGCTTATGAGACTTAATTAAGTCATGTTGTTTATACTTAAAACTTTGGACTTCAGCTACATACTGGAGAAGAATGATGGATCATTTAGAAAACTATTTGGGGATTACTTCAAGGCACAGCCTGTCATGACTGGAGAACATGTGAAAGAAAATGATTCATTTCTTCCTTTTTATAAAGAATATGTTTTAATGACCAAACTGTAACTCCAGAGGACCAGTGATAATGCATGCTATCTACTGCTTGACAGACAGGTGGGAGACTTGAGGGGTAAATTTGATATACATTTTTGAACATGTTCAATGTACGGATTTGTTTTGCTGCACTATAGCTTGGTGGGAATTTTGGAGGAGGGGAAGACAAGAGATAGAGATGCCAAAAATAAAGAAGAAATGGAAGGTCACCGTAGCATCAAAAAAAAAAAAAATCACACAAGAGACAGTAAGAGGTTCAAAAGGGATCAAGCCAGATACCTCTGAAACAAGAATATTGAATTTATTATATTGTTGAAAATTATGCAAGCTGTGTATTAGAGAGATTTCCTCTGTTTCTGTTCTGTGCAGGTGGAAATGTTCATGTTTGTTCAGGGCTGTCAAGTTCAGAATAAAAAAAATTAAAATTGAAGTAAAACAACAACAAAGAAAATACTTCATTATTTGCCAATGTCCAATCTAACCAAGTCGGTATTTTCAAACTGGTGTTTACTCCTGATGGCTCCCGACAGCAGGTGCAGCAATGTCCCAACTGGACCCCAGGGCACAGAAGATGTTTTATTAGATGTGTTTTCTCGATTTTGCAGATGTCCAATTCTACTTCCAAGGCTCTAATATGGAGTCAGGAAAGCTCAAAAAGGCAGATGGGAAAACAGAAGTAGACTCATGAAAGCACGTAGAACCAGACTGTGAAGGGCCCTAATCTCAACATTTTACATCAAAAAATTATGAAATTTGTAAAAAGAATTTGCCAATATGTAACATGTAAAATTTAACCCTGAGTATGTTGTTGTTGTTCAGTTGTTTCAGTCATGTCTGGCTCTTCATGACTCCACTTGGGGTTTTCTTGGCAAAGATACTAGAATGCCATTTCCTTCTCCAGCTCATTTTATAGATTAGGAAACTGAGGCAAACAGGATTAAGTGACTTGCCTGGGGTGTCACACAGCTAGTAAATATCTGAATCTGGATTTGAACGCAGGTCTTCATGATCACAGGCCTAGGGCCACCTAGCTGCTCCTGGGTTCAAGAAAAGTATAGGGACCAAGATTTTAACCCTTCTCCCTAATTACAAGGACACAGGATTATGCAAATTGCTGAAAAAAACGTATATTACTAGCAGTTTGGTATTTATATGGTAAAACTTCCCTTTCTTTGCTCAAAATTTTCCCACAACTTTCTTCTGCCAATACTGATAAAAAAAAAGTTATAATTATGTAATAGGTCAAAATCTCTCTCTCATGAGTTTAAGAGACACAGATTGATCGTGAAGATTTGTATGATTTGACACAAAACAAAAAGAGCCAAATCAGAACTATTTATACAATAACAATATTGTAAAACAAACAATTCTGATAGTCTTAATAACTCTACCAATGTAATGACCAACCATGATTCCAGAAGTTCCCTGATTCCATGTTTCATAAGGAAGGAAACACAACGCCCACCTTCTGACAGACAAATGATGGATTTAGGGTGAAGATTGGGACATATTTTTTTTGGACTGGGCAATGTGGGAATTTGATTTGCTTTACCATTCAAAGTTCTTGCATTTGTTGCAAGGGTTTTGTTATGGTTAGCACCATAATATGCTAATAGTCTCTGTGGTGCATAAGAGTCCACAAAGGAAGATGGGCCTCTTTTTTGGAGATCAATCAGTGAACCAACATTTACTAAGCACTTCCCATGTGCCAAGCACTATGCTCTGTGCTGGCACATAAAGAAAAAAGCAAAAACAGTCCCTGCCCTCAAGAAGCTTACATTCTAATGAGGTGGCCAACAGGTATATACAAAACATGTACAGAGGAGGAGGTACATAAGAAAAGAAGGCAGTAGCAACTGGGAGAAGACATAAGGTCTCTTAGAGAAGGCTGCAACTGAGCTAAATCTTGAAGGAAACGAGATTCTAAGAGGCACGAGTGAGGAGGGAGGACCTTCTACACATGGAGAAATGGCAACAGAAAAGCATGGAGATGGAAATATGCGTAAGAAACAGCATGGCTGGACTGTAAATACATGGAAGGGAATCATCGTGTAAAAATACAGCAAAGATAAGAAAAGACCAGGTTGGAGTTTCATATTCCAACCAGGAGTTTATATTTGTTCCCAGAGGAATCACTGGAGTTTACTGGGGAGGGATCTTTCCCAGATCTCAGTAAGGCCAAAGTCACCCACCGCATCCCAGGCCATCACCAAGTCATCCTATCATGTTTTTGGACTTCGATGTCTCTGGAGAAGACCGTGTAGCTCTGCCTCACTTAAATCCAATTCACAAACCAGTCAAGATGTCACCCTTGTGATGTCATTGGTCCTTGTTGAGAATGAGGTGGAAGAGGCTGTTTATGGTGTGACCTATGCTGGAAGAAAATAAAGTTGGCATCTATGTGGAAGAAGGATGGATTGGAGAGGTGAGAGACTTGAGGCTGGGAGAGCAATTACTCCAATAATCCAGATGAGAGGTGATAAGGGCAATGTGGTGAAGACAAGCAAGGACAGGATGGAGGATACATGTAGAGGGGTTGACCTAGGCAAGGAGAAGGGCCATCTCTTCATCAGAGACTGGAGGGATTGAGGAAGTAACGGGGGAATGATGCCAGAGGACTTGAAATGGAAAAGGAGAAGAGGCAGCTCTCAGTGAATTGCTTCAATTTTTCTAATGAGATTATGATGAAGGTTGATTTATTTTATAATTAAGAGGAAAGGGAACCCTTTCTTTTTTTTTCTTCTTTTTTTGCTCCTTAGGGGCCAAGAACCATAATTTATGCCAACAGTGGCAGCAGCCATGCAGAACATCAGCCAATATCCCTTTCTTACTGCCAAGAAGAGAGAAAATGGGGCTGCCCCCTGGACAAAGGAAAGCCAGGAGGAAATCTAAATTCAAAGCCCAGGAAGAATTCCTTTGGAATAAGGGGGAAGAAACAGAAAACTATAAAAGGACTTTAAGAAGCCTGTATATAAAGACATATCACTCAAACAACACAAAATATGAGAGTAAATCAATGAGAGTAAAGGAAAATAACAGAACAGCAGCAGAAGTTAAATCTGAGAAAAGAATCAAGTACTCCACATTTAAATGATTATTTACCTCAAAAATATAAGCACCACTAATCTATACTTACTTAAGAACAGCAATCTCTTGAACAGTTATAGCCCTTTTGTCTTTGGTTCCCATATAGGAAAATATGTTTGGTTTAACTCTGATAAAAAAAAACAAAAAATAAGTTAAATAACCAATATTCATGCTAATGATAACGATATGAAATTACATGCATACGTTCTACAATTTGCTTAATCATTGCCCAGTCAATTGATGGACATCTACACTGTTTCTAGTTCTTTGCTACCACAAAAAATGCCACTAACGAATATAAGACCATTCTTTCTTTCTCTGACTTCTAGCAGTGGGATCTCTGGGTCAGTTTCCAAATTGCTCTCCAGACTGGTTGGATCACAAATTCCACTAACAGTGTATTTGTGTACCTCTCTCTTCACAGCTCTTCCAACAATGATTTTTCCATCTTTGCCAAGTTGTCTGGTATGAGGTGAAACCTCAGTGCTGTTTTAATCTGAAAGTCCCTCATTATTAGTGATTTGGAGCTATGTTTTATGTAACTTGTAATTGTCCAGAATTCTTCTTTTGAGAACAGAATATTCATTCATGTTAGTTCTCTGTACAGGTTAGGTATCAGACTCTTAACAGAGATAAGGTTACAAAGCTTTTCCCACCTAATCAATAGCTATCTTTTTATATTAAGTTGTACTGATTTTGTTCATGCAAAGGCTTGTCAATTTTATGTAAGTGAAATTATCTATTTTATCTTTCACGACCACCTCTATCCCTTGTTTGGTTAACAACTTTTCCTCTGGACATAGGTATGAAAGTACTTCTAATTTTGTTAGAGTTTGACCTTTTCTATTCTGTTCCTCTATCCACTATATAAAATTTGCTACAGGTTCTCCGTAAAGTGTTGATCTAAACCCAAATTGTACCAAACTGCTTTACCACACTTTCAGCAATTCTTGTCAAATAGGAAGGTCTTCCTGAAGTAACTTATGTTTCAAGGTTTATCACACAAATTATTTAGTCCAGATGTATCAGATTCTTCCACATGTGGTCTGTTCCGCTGATCTACTTTTCTATTTTTTACAATCAATACCAAATTAAATTATATTACAAAGCAATAATTATCACAACTAAGTCCACAACTATGATTCCTCCCTTGAAATTCTAGATCTTTTGTTCCTAAAATAATAAAAGATGATCAGCTGTGAATGATTTAGCTATTCTCAGCAATACAATGATCAAAGACAACTCTGAAGGACTTATGACGGAAAATGTTAGCCATCCTCAGAGAAAGAACTGATGGTGTCTGAATACAGACTGAAGCATACTTTTTTTAACTTTATTTTCTTGAAAATTTTTCTCTATGTTTTCTTTTACAACATGACTATTATGGACATGTTTTGCATGACTACACATGTATAACCTATATCAAATTGCTTGCCTTCTCAATGAGGGGGGTAGGGAGGGAAAAAGGGAGAGAATTTGGAACTCAAAATTTTAAAAACAAATGTTAAAAATTGTTTTTACATGTAAATGTGGAAAAATAAAATAATAAATAAAGGAAAAAAGCATCCCCTTAGTAATTTGATTGCTGGCAGTAAATCTGTAAATTAACTAGCAACTTCTTAATTATATTGACAAAACTCAACCATGAACAATGACTCTCCCCTCCAACTATTAGTCATTCTTTATTTCTTTAAAGAATGTTTTTGATTATGCTATAATATTGCTTCTAGGTGAGAATCAATTTTAACTTTTTCAGGAATGGAATCAGCAAAAAATTCAAGAGTTGTGTGCATAGTAAAATGAAATTTCTACAATGTGAGTCATTTAAATAGATTTTTTTTTTAGGGGCGAGGTTAATTTATGTCATAAGCTGTGTGTTAATTCTCAACTATCTATACGTGGATTATCCATTTTCTGGCAAAGTTTTTTATATCAAATATTTGGCATCTGCTATATACTATATGACCTTAGCCAAGCCATTTAACATCTCTGGGTGTCAGCTTCCTTGCCTGTAAACTAAGTCTAGACTAGATGATTTCTAAGGACTTTTCCAAATCTATGATCCTATGAACAAAAACGATTTTTCTACCAGCCTAAACAATAAGAAGGTTTACGGGATCACAAATCTAGAGCTGAAATGGCCCCTGAAGGTCATCTCGTCCAGCCCTTCCTTTTACAGATGAAAGAACTGAGATCCATGGAGGTTAAGTGACTTCCCCAAACTCACAAATGTAGTTAAAGTCAGAGGTAAGATTTGAACACAGGCCCTTTAACTCCAAAGTCAATGCTCTTTTTTTCCTACTACATTATACTGATATAGACATGAATGAATTGTTCAAAAAAAGCTATAATGTTTTCATTCCAAATCCAAATAGAAATGATTTTTCTATTATCTATTTCTTCAGACTGCCCCTACTACAGCCCCTTCATAATGTTAGTTTAATTCAAAATCAGCCATGTTTTGACAGTACATAAAAAAAAGATTTAAAAAAAAACTGACCTTAAAAATTTGGAAAGTACATTAATAGCATCCATGGTGTCCTTATTTTCCTTGTATAATACAAAGTGGCAGTAACTTCCCCTAGATTTTGGCCAAGAATGTTTTCTTGGATCTATAAAAGCAAACAAACAAAAATGAACATATTTAACCATAGCATGGAGAGGCACCATTGTTTTGAGTTTCCTTATTTTGTGATACTATGAGCGCTCAATTACTTGCTTCTGAATCCTGGAAGTAAGAAATTGATCTAAATAGTCAGCTAACCCAGGTTATTGGTTATAGTTTAAACTGACCTCCTGGGACCATCAAAGGCTTCTTCCGTAGCTTTGGACAATCACTTAACTCGCCACAAATGCTATGAAATATGAGTGCTGTGAAGAGGTCTATAAACTGATCAGAGACCTCCACCTGTAAGGTACTATAAGACGCATCATCAATTCTGGGAGAGTCACTTTATAAAAAGTGTTCCTCACATCTGAGCACTAACACCCTCAGGTCCATAGGAAGCCAAGGTTAAAGTGGAATATATAACCATAGGCTTGCCTAACATCCACTGGTCTTTGGATTTTCATGAGGACTAAAGTCCTATGCTCTATTATAACAAAAACAGAAATAATTTGAAAATGAAATAAAACTGGCTTTTTAAAAAACATTTCTAAATGTTCCTTCCCTCTCAAAAATTTAATACCAACACTAGATACGCTGTATATCAATCTGGACCTCCCAAAGAAATCTTTTTGGCATATGAGATCTATTTACTATTTCTGGAGAAAAAGAGAAGTTGGGAATGAAACATGACTAAATATACTTTTAGAAGCTGCTGCTCTAAATGCTCGAGACATTTTTTTCTTATCAGAGTGACATACATTTCATGAACTGCCAGAGCCTGGTTTTTAAAACACTCAAGCAATAAAACTGTGTAGCTACATTTAAATCCATCTTAAGATCTAGGAATAAATAATTTACAGGTTTTGGTTTGAGCTGTGCCTCAAAGCTGAAATTTCAATGGTATTGAAGTAGTATATTGCAGTATGGAAAAATCTACCAATGCATAGGCTACACCTATATATGCCAAATGCTGCGTAATATACATTGGTCTTATGTAATATTTTATTATCTATGTTCTCTGAACAAACATAACAAAGTCACATATTTCTTACATAGTTGTTAGGAATCAGGAAAAATGTAAAAGGATATAAAATAAACAATTTCTTACTGATGGTTATTCTTAAAAATATTTCATTTATTTGCATGTTAATATGGATCCGTGTTCTTCTAAAAGTCAGATGCTTGTGTTTGCTGAAGCTACCGCTAAAAATTGTCTTGCAAAAGAAATAAATGATATTCTTATAGACTTGTGGTCTTAGCTGAGGAATAAGGAGCAGAAGCATTATCAAATAAATAAAGGTCCTAAATATTACCCTAGCAGTGTAGTGAAAGGATTCATTATCTAAAAGCAACTGCATGAATGCAGTAATACCAGCATGAAATGCTGCTTTATTGAGAAGTATGTAAGAATGTTTTTCTATAGGTCTTCTACTCTTCAGTCTTAGTTCCTGGCTTGGGTTCTCCTCCAAAGCTTCCCCTTCCCAATCTCTCCTTCCACCCCAAAAAATATTCCTCTAAAAATTTGAGAGAGAAACATTATCTTAGTTTTTCCTTCTGACTTTATGTTACTGAAGAAGAAATTTCTCTGATTTTTATTAGCTTTCTAGCTAGCAAATTTGTGCATCAGAATCCTTGGCATTTCATTTTGTCTACATGGAATGCCAACAGCTCTTACCTGCAGCAGTTCTGACCTCTGTCCAAATGCACAGCAAAAAGAGCATAAGAAAGCAATGTTTAATTTATAGACGTATTAAAGTGCTTTAGAGGTGAACATGCAAAAGTTATGACTGTATGTAGATTTCAATGGCACCTAGCAGCGGTAGCGATAGCAATTCAGACAATTATGCAATGCCACAACACAGCAGAGGCAACAGTAAATGCGTGGAGGGTGAAATAAATTATAGGCATAACAAACCTCCCTGTAGACAAAATAAATTGGGCCTCAGTAGCTTACTGACACTCAAACCTCTCACAAGAAGCGTGTGTATACATAAGTGTGTATGTGTTCCTGACCACAAAGAACCCTTCCCAAGTTACCACAAGACTCCATTTAGAGTTTTCAGTGAAAAGTTTAAGATGTGAAATCAAAGTTAAAGATGTGAAATAAAAATAAGATAAAATAAATTCATAGTTCTGCTTTCTTGTATTTAATTCTGCTTTCTTGTATTTAATTATCATAGATAATTATCATGTAATTATCAATTTTTAAAGTGGCCGCTGATGAGAATTCCTGAAATTTAATTGGATGATCTCTTACCTAGAAATTCTACATTCCCACTTAGCTGTAAGGTATGAATATAGCCACAAATGGAGAACTGGTAGAAAATTCTATGTGTCAAAAGAAAATTAACCTATTGGGATTTAAGTTTTCATTTACACACCCGCATACTCTAATTAGTAAGTGCACAAAAATAACAAGAGAAGAGTTATCACTTTCTCACATAAACACACATGAATATATACGCGTATCATGGTCTAAACAAACACTATATACAGAATTTAAACTTCATAGAATTGCATAGGAAATTAATCTAATGACTTCAAGGTACTTAGAGTCAAAACACGCAATTAATATGCATTTTGCCTGGATGACATTCCAATCCCTCCTTCTAAAAGTGATATAGAGTTTCTGAATCCAATGATAATTATTATTACCACTTGTTTAATTATTTTGTATTAGTAACTAATAATAGTTAACACTTATATAGCACTTACTATGTGCCAGAGTACTGTGCTAAGCCCTTTACAATTATTATCTCATTTGCTCCTCACACAACAAGCCCGGGAGGTAGTTGCTTATCCTCATTTTACAGATGAGGAAACTGAAGCAAACAAGGATGAAGTGACTTGCCCAACATCATCACCACACTAGTATTTTGAATTCAGGTCTTCCTGACTCCAGGCCCAGCACTCTGTGTACTATGGCGCCACCTACCTGCCTCTATTCTCAATTCAAGCAAGAGGGATGGGAATGGGACTCATTAGACCTATGATTTATTTCATTGGTATATAAGGGATTCTCAAGCATGGAAAAGTCTCTCTGCCAATTTGGGATCTGCACCTCCTCATCAACTTATAGTCTTAGAGAATTGCCTTGAACACTGGAAGGTCAAATACAATCACTTAATATCAATACAATCACTTATTAAAAATTAAATAATTAAAAAACTAAATATTAAAAAATTACATATTAAATACAATCATTTAAATAAATCACAATCACAGGTGGAACTTAAACCCAGTTCTCCCTGATTTGATTTCAAACGAATAAAAATTTTTTTTCCCCAGGGTTTTGGAGAAGTTTACGTAATACCTCTTCTGAATTAAAGACACCCTTTAGGGTCCATTAGACAGTACGGCATAAAAAGGAGAATCAATGAATGACCTAAGAGTTAATCTGAGCTCAAGCCCTAGCTTGGACTTTCAAGATGTATGTATGTTAAGCCACTTAATCTCTAAATTCCAGTTTCCTCATGTGTAAAATCGGGATGATCCTCGTATTCATGTTATCAGAGAGGTATGGGGATCAAAATACTTTCTAAGCACTTAAAAAATAATACTATGGGTTATTCTTACCAATTGAAATCTGCATAATTCTTTTTATTTAAAATAAGTTTTTCTTGGAGATAATATGTACTACAGATTTACTAAGTAACACATTTATATGGACAGAGAACGCTTTAGTCCTCTTTTTAATTTTTCAGGGCTTAGAAATAGTGTGAGTCTGGGAAGATAGTAAGGGCTTACTTAGCTTTGCAAAAAAAGAAGGGAGAGAGTAAAGGGAAAATCATTTACACAGGGCCTACCGTGTGCCTGGCATTATGCCGAGCACAGTTTCAAAGACCAACTCATTAAAATGTCACTGGAAATATAGTGCTTCCCCCCACTTTGGGGTCATTTGTAAATGTAGCATGGCCACAAGTCTACTGCTAACCAGCTCTCCCCCACATTTCTGTTTCTGTTACACAGCTGGTAATAGTTTCCAGTCTTCTGTTACTAGTTTCTACTACTTTCTGATAGCACTGCTTTTCTGTTCCTAGAGAATGTAAGACAACATTCTGAATAAAAGAAAATTAGAACCTGTACCCAGGTGGCAGCAGTGGGATGAGAGATGGGATAGAGGCAAGAGATGCTGGTGAGAAATAATGATAGAAACTGTTCACTTATGTGGTGTGACCACTAATCAGGTATGGAAAAAAGTGATGATTTGTTGGAAGTACTGGTCCAGGGGAGAGGAACCACGAAAGTCCCTTCCAACTATGAAATAATTCTGTGATTCTCTGTGAAATGAAGAGATGGATTTGGAGTTAAAAGACCATGATTCAAATCCGCCCGCTGATACTTATTACCTATATGACCATTCATGGTCAAGCCACCTAAACTTCTTGGCCCTCAATTTCCTCATCTGTAAAGAAAGAGACTGGACCAGATGACTTCTGAGGTCCCTACCAGCTTTAGATTGAAAGATACTATGAAATGAAGCCTAAAAAACAAAGTGGTGGGTTGTGTAAGAACTTCTAGAATTGCATGAAAGGCAGAAGAGATGGAATGGAGAAGAAATATAAAGCGAATGGAGAGAAAATTCATTTGACTTAAGCAAAGGAAATGGGTAAAAAGATGCAATGACAATACAATGGAACTCACAATTCCAATCACTTTTAGTTACATGTAGTACAAGCAAAGACTAGCTACACTGCCCTAAGGAAATGGTCATTTCCAAGAAACAACCATAAAAATAACAAAGGTTTTTTGAGGTTTTTTTTCTTAATGCTTTACCAGTTAGACTAAGACACCTTTTATTGTTACCTTTTTCTAATCTTATTACTGGAGAAGGGTGTTGTTGACCAAAAATACAATGAATTAACCTCAATGTTGGATGTATTTCTTAACAAGAACATCTAAAATGTCTCATTTTGATCCAGAAATTTCTCAAAATACTATTTAAACAATTTGCTTATGGATAGGAGAAAAATCAACATTTGCTTTTTTTTGACCAGATACACATTTCATTCATACATTATTTCATTATCTCCTTTTAACAAACATTACCTTGAGATAAGTAAGACATAGCTCATCAATTTCACTTAATACAGAGAAATACCTCTACCACATTTTTTTTGCAACTTAAGAAAAGATTCAAAATATACAACAATAAATTTCCATTTCAAAAAAGGCTATGTAATAAATACTACACATTGTGTTCAGAGCTGTCCATCTTTTCTTTGCTTCCTTGTAAGTTTTCTTTTGTTCTTTCTTGTGCACTTCTTACTTTGTTCTTTTTTTCCACCTTCCTCCCCAAGAAGGCTACAATTAAGCATGGAGATACATGTGTGTGTGAGAGAGAATCCATAAAGTGCCCTAGCCTTCCAAAGGACAATATTCATCTTCTCTGAAGGACTGACAGCCTGAATATCATTCACTAAACAAAAATTAAACAGTCATACAGATGAATAAAAAATGGACAAGTAGCAATCCCCCATTCCCTGGAAAACTTAAGTGTCAAGGTTACACACATACATACATACACACAATCACACACTCACTTACTTGCCTTTTTCCCAGCTGCATGGTAAGCCACGATATATTTTTTCCCATCTCTTTCCTCTGTTTTTGTCTCTAATCCAGGAAATAAAGATTTCACTGCTTGATGGATAATAGTTCTTTTCTCTTTGGTGTCTTCAAAAACCTACAACAAAAATATCAATCTAAAAGAATTTCTTTTTTTTTATAGTTGAATATTTTTGTTTAAATCTATACTCTTGTTTTGGATTTTAATGAACTAAAGAAATTATAGATGACTTGCCGTGAACACATACATACTACAGTTACTAAGTGCAAAGGTAAAGTGGTAAAGTAGGCATCACCAAGGGGTAGCTAGGTGGCACAGTGGATAGAATACCCACCCTGGAGTCAAGAGGTCCTGAGTTCAAATATGACCTCAGACACTTGAAGCCACTTAACCATTGACTGCCTTGCCCCCCTGCCCCCAAAAAAAGGCATCATCAAAAATATTCACGTTCTTTGAACGTGATTCCAATTACCTTTTTCAACAGCAAATTCAGGCCAGAAATGGGAAATACACATTTCGTATTATAAGTGATAAAATGACAAAATAAGAATTTATTAAACACCTATTATAACACAGTAGACATTGCATAAATGCTAGCTATTATCATCATCATATTTTAATGAACTTTCTACCCAAATTGGAAGTGTTTAAAATACTGATAATACAACATAACATTTGTAATAAAATAATAACATAATTAAAATAATAGCTAACACTTAGTGCCTACTACGTGCCAAGCACTGTGCTAAGTGGTTTACAAATACACACCAACCCTAAGAGACAGGTGATACTATCACCTCCACTTTCCACGTAAGGAAACTAAGTCAGACAGGTTAAGTGACTTGCCCACAGTCTCACAGCTAGTAACTGTGAAGCTGGATTTGAACTCAGGCACTAGAGATTCAAAAACCAAAAAAAAAAAAAAGAGTCCCTGTCATCTAGAAGTTTACATTCTTCAGGAAGAAACAACATGTATGTACTCAAGGAAATACACACTATACAATACATACAATTTTTGGAGGGGGGAGACAACAGTCACTAAGGGTTTGGGGAAAGGCCTCATATGGGAATTGGCAGGGAGCTTAGATTTGAAAGAAGAGAGGGATTTTAAGAGGCAGAGATGAGAAAATACATTTCAGGCATGAGGGATAGAGATGGGAGATGGAACATTATGTAAGGAAGAACAAGACGGTCAGTTTGGCTGGCAGGCCAAATGAAGTGTAATAAGGTATCAGCCTGGAAAAGGATGAAAGAGCCGGTCAAGAAACCAGTCTTAATTAAGTGCCTAGCAAGTGTTAGGCAACGTGCTAAGCACTGGGGCAAGACTGGAAAGGAACACTGAATGCCAAGCAGAATTAATATTTTTCTTAGAAGTGAGAGTCACTGGTGCTTTGTAAGTAGGGAAAGAGCATGATAAGACACGTGTGCTTCATGAATGTCATTTTGGCAGCTGTTGGGAGTGGGGAAATAGTGGAGGCAGGTAGGCCAATTAGGTTATCAAAATAGTTCAAGGAAGAGCTGATGAAATGTCTTTGTTCTATACTTTTTTTCTTGTTTGAACGGTATGACAAATCTCTTTCAAATAACTAAGGGTTTTATTGAAAAGGGTTTGTAGTATTCCAGCGTTTGCTCTCAGGGCTTCTTCAACTTTTTCTACTCCTGACCCCTTTGCACCTCTCACATCAGCATTTCACCTGGGCAGTTCACTGGTGCTGCATGGCCTGAGCATGTGCAGGGCAAAGTGCGAATGCTTTGTGTTCAGAACCAAGGCTGAAGTGAAGTTGCCTGATGCAACACACAGGAAAGTGCTGCCAGAAACACCTCGGATTCGTTACACATTTGATTTTTAAATAATTTTTGGTCGTGGAGCGTTCAGAAATCTTTCGCTGTTGCCAATTTTTTCACAACCCCATGCGGGGTTACAACCCACAGTTGAAGAAGCGCTGAAATCTAAATTAATATAACATTAGCTGAAAATAGCATTCAGAAGATTTAATAATAATGATGATGATGAAGATAGCTAGCATTTACACACTGTGTACTATGTTATCAGGCACTGTGCTAAGGGCTTCAAAAATACCATCACACAGGACTGAAACAATTCAACAACAAAAGTCTTGACTCCAAGCCAGGTGCCTTATTCACCTCTCCACCTGGCTGCCTCCTGTAAGAGTAGGAAGCAGCAGAGCCAGAATTTGAACTCAGTTCTCCTTCCACTGCACCATGATTTTAAACATCATTCCAGATTCCTCTCACAGTCCATGGCATGCTTAGGTGGCAGGGATGAAAAAATGCTAATTTCATGACTGTCACCTACAAGAACAGATCACTATAGTAACATGGGCAGACTTGTTTTATTTCTTCCCATTTGGGCTCTAAATGCTCTTGGGGTGATTTGGCTCAGCTGGGTCTCATGCCAAGCTCTCTGCAGGCTTGTTTTCTCTTCCATTTGTTTTCATTGTTTTTGAAACAATACTGCTCACAATCTCCCATCTTTCTCTGCTATAATATTTTGCACATGTGCGCGTACCCTAAACTGCTACCAGCAGCTGATGTGTTTCTCTGTTTAGCAGAGATCATATTTGCTGGCTGAAGCTGTCTTAGATTTCTCCATGGTAACTAATTTCTATTGGTGAAAAGGGATGGAGACAGGGACCAGTGATTTTATCGGTATAGGGAACTCCCAAGTGAGGCAACTATCTCCACCAATGCAGGTCAGTACCTTCACTGTAAATTATAGACTTAGAAAATCATCCCAGGGCACTGAGAGGTTAAGTAATTTGTCCTGGGTCACAAAGCCAGCATGTGTCAGAGGTGACACCTGAACTCAGGTCTTCCTGGCTTTGATGCCAGCTCTTTATCTACTGATGCCTCTTGGTTAAAAATTGCTAAGAACTGGGGATAGGGTTAACATCTTTATTCTGTCCATACCTCCTTTTCAGAGTTGACAGCTTGTCTGAGCAAGTCAGACTAAAAATAGTTCTTTTCAAGCACAGTCTCTTCTAGAGCATAGTCTTTCTTTTAATTTGCTACTGATTTTGACCTTCACTCTAACCATTTAAGACTATACACAGACTGTACTCTTCTCTGGGATACAAAGATAAAATCAATTTCATTTTTTGTGTTCACCATGTCCATTAGCTTCTGACTCTCTCCTTGAAGGAAACATACATGTCACAAAGGCATGGATGAGGCACCTTCTAAATTACCTACAGGCCTTTAGTGTAATTTCTTGATCCTAAACCTTCTCAGAGAATTTTCACTCTTTTACCTTGTCCCCTATCTGCACACTGAAGTCACCAGGTACAAAGGTATATATTGACTGAGTTTACAGAACCTCATTAAATCCTTCACAAAACTTCTCCATTTTCATTTCTGCAATGCCTGTCGGCATGGAAGTTATCATTTTCATGACAGTGCGCTTGGTAATACATGTCATGAGCTCTCTGAGATGAGATTACTAATGGTCCCATGAACACTCTCTAACTGCCTTGGTGTTCACGACGATATAAACTCCGCCAACTCCTTTATTTGCCCCTGTGTGAGGCATCCTATAAGGTGTCCCCTCCTCCTCTATTTAATGGCAGCCTCTTTAAATCTTGTTTTATTTTTAGCAAGAATGTCAATGTGGTTATGGTTCAGTATTTCCAGTAATGGAAGTGTGGAGCACAAGAGAAGAGTCAAAACACCTGGGCTCAGGGACCAGCACTCCTACTTATTAGCTGTGTAATCCTAGGCAAAACAAGTCACCTCTCTGGGACTGAGACTAGGTTATCTATCTCAATATTCTCTGATTCCGTATCCATTCACTAGTCACTGAATATAGATTGCATACTAACTTTACCAACAAGTAAATGAATGCTTGTAGATAATCTGAGAATATCAGGACTCCATGTTTGCAGTCATTTAGAAATAAAGGGAGGGAGGAAAACAGGGAAGAGGGAGGGGCCACACACTAGAGAGATCTAGTGAACTTTTGTTTGTTTGTAAGTCTCTGTGGCTCACAACACACTGGCCAACTGAATGGTGAGACACCTTTCTCAGACAACAAACAAAGCTTGTCCTTGAGCCCAGACTTGAGGCCTTTCCAGTTTGGCAGAAACTGCTAGACTTCTTTTTCTTTTTTTTCTTCTGATAGCACATCCTTTCAGATCTCAAGATTACCTCCATATCATGAAATGACACTAGATTAGTAATTTTTCTGGTTGAGGAAGAAGGGAGAGGAGCCAGAAGATGGAATACTGCAAAGTGCTAGATAAATGTGACTTATTATCACTACTGATGATAATAGTAATAATAATGACAGTCACTAATACATGAACCAAATGCAGGTCGGAGCAATATTCTAAAGCAGGATCCTGCACAAGTTAAGCGAGCATTTCCTTAAAAGATGCTGAAATGGCCCTTGAGGTTAGAGTGGCTCTGAAGACTAATGGCTTACACGGTTGATATCACTTCCTGGTCACCTAAGTACAAACAACCAGGAGGAGCTCCAGCCTCTCTCAGATCACAGAGGGTTACCATGAGCAACCCAGAGGCAGGAGAGCTCAGTGCAGCTGAATCAACTTGCAATGTCCTTAATGAATATCCTTCCCCAGCTATGAGATAAATCTCCTTTTCTTAACTGTTAAATCACCTATGAGCATCTCATTTCATTCCAATATTTAACCTAGGCTAATAGGGGACTGGCCTGCATCTGTCCTAGCCTGGAATATCTAATGGTTAAATTCCAACCACCTGGAGGGATAGAATAGGATAAAGAACATTTTGTTGCTGTGCAATTGTGTCTGACCCTTTTGTGACCCCATTCAGGGTTTTCTTGGCAGTGATACTGGAGTGGTTTACCACTTCCTTCTCCAGCTCATTTTACAGATAAGGAAATTGAGGCAAACAGGGTTAAGTGACTTGCCCAGGGTCACACAGCTAGGAAGCGTCTGAGGCCAGATTTGAACTCGGGAAGATGAATCTTCCTAACTTCCGGGCTGGCACTCTATTCATTGCACCACCTAGCAGCCCCAAAGAACATTTAAGAAATGTAAAAGGAAGTAAGTCCAAAGGGTCAAAGATTTTTGTTTTGTTTTCAAATCAGGGAACGTCCTTGAAATTTCAAGGTGAATATAAAGTAATTTTAACTCTCATATAAACATTTGAAAATAGCTAACATTTATATAGCACTTTAAGGTTTGCACATCACTTAACAAATATCATCTCATTTTATCTTCACAATGACCTTGGCAGATAGGTGCTATAGTTATCCCCATTTTACAGATGAGGTAGCTGGACAGAAAGAGGTTACATAACTTTCCCAGCTAGTGTGTGAGGCCACATTTGAACTCAGGTTTTCCTGACTTCCGGGCCAAAGCTCTATCCATTGTACCACTGAAGGCCAAACCACATTCATAAAGAAGAACCACCAGAAATTCCAATGATGTTTCATTTTAAAGTGGTTATACTGATGATGTACAAATAACATGATTAATGTTAGCCATATTAAGGTCTGCCTTCAATGGGGCTTTAATCACATTCTACTCCAAAAAGATAACGCGAAAACACTGGCAAAGTTTTTCACATTTTTTTCTGTTATTTACCTCAAGGGCTACACTAGTTTCTTTATTCTTGAAAAGCTGAAGTTCTTCTAAACGCTGCTTATTTTCTTCTGTCAAAACTGTAAATATATTGTCAGAAGGATCCTTTAAAATGACCAAGAGAAAAAAGCAAAGAAGAGAAATTAAAAAAAAAAACACCAGCACTTATTCACAAACAGAATTCCAAGCATGAAAATAACATGATCTTACTAGAACCAGTAACTTTGTTAAAGAATTCTACAGCTACCTCATCATCCACGGGCACAGAGAAGTCATCCAAATGGCTCACACGGCCATCTTTCCCTATTTCATGAACAATGAAGTCAGAGTATCTAATAAAAAGAAAATAGAAAAAGAAAGCATTCAATTTTTCATTAAATTTCAAGATCATACTTGTAAGCAGTTAAGAATGTCAATAAAAGCCTTGAACAGGTTAAAACTGTTCCTTTTTTCCCCACCCTCACTATTAAGCTACATGGAATCATTACTATGGTGGTGTTCTGTTTTTTTTTTTTTAATGAATGCTGACTTGTATACAGTATGAGCCTAGCACTATACTTAATAGAGAGGTTTTGTGTAATCCTGCAGAGAAGTACAAAAACAACAGTTTATAATTTTTTTTCCTGGCCTATGCAAGTAACAATTATCATTAAATAACAGGTGAAACACAGTAAAACTGTATTAATTTAGGTCACTTTAAATCGAAATAATTTCAACAAGAAGCAGTATAACTTAGAGGGTAATGGCTACAGGCCCAGTCTTAGAGCTGGGAAGACCCAAGCTCATTTGCGTCTTTGCCTCTGGGATTCCGGGCAAGAACAGCAAGAACCTTTCAACGCCATAGGCAACAGTCTCAAGTTATAAAGTTACATATTCATTCTGAGCTGAATTCATGAAGGGAATTTCACACCAAGAATTCCCTAGAGCAACGAAATAAAAGATCCCAATCAGAAAAGGAAAAAAAAATTCTCAGAGGCTGAAATTTGCCTTAGTATTCTCTATGAAAACATGGGCAAGAGGAGCTAAAGAAATTCAGTTATAAAATTCCAGAAGAAAACTTTAACCTATTTAATAAAATAAATTGTTTTGGAAATTATCAGCAGCATTATTTGCATATTAATTACAAATTAGGTAGTTTGGAACTGGACTTCTACTTGACAGCACAACCTAGAGCATGTAAATGAAGCCACCAATCAATCAATCAAAAGCCTTATTAAGTATTCACCACGTGCCAAGAACCATGCTAAGAGCTGGACATACAAAGAAGGAACTCAAGGAGCTTACACACTATCATGGATATACAGGTATATATACAAACACAAGAGGATATATCAGCTGAGGGCACAAGCAGCTGGGAGAGTGGGGTTTGAGTGGGGATGAGGAGGAGGAGGTACTTGAGCTAAATCTTGAAGGAACTAGGGATTCTAAGAGGCGGAAGTGAGGTAATTTGTTCTGGGCATGACAGCCAGCACAAAGGCCTGGAGATGGTCTACCACTGGAATTGTAGAGTGCCACATATAAGGAACAGTAAGAAATACCATTTTAATGGGACCACAGGGTATATGAAGGGGGATAATGCATAAGAATGGAAAGATAGTTTGGGTCCAGGCTGGTGGAAGTTTAAATGTGCCAGAGGAGTTTATAATTAATCCTAGCAATAACAAAGAGCCAATGGAATTTACTGAGGAAGGAGAGCCTAAATGAGGGTGGTGGTTACATGGGTGCAGAGATGGGGGCACGTGAGACAGAGCTGTAGAGGCAGAAATGTCAAGATTTGGCCAAGCACAGATATGTGGGTTAAGGGAAAGGGAACAACCAAAGATGGCCCTGAGATTGCAGACCCAGGTGAGTGAAAAGGTAATCGTGTCCTTGATAGACGTAAGGAAGTTAGAAAGATGGGGTAGACTTGGTGGAAGAGATAATAGGTTTTGTTTTGGACATTTTGAGATCGAGATGCCTCCAGGGCATCCAGATCAAAATGTCCAACAGACTATAGTTGGTGATATGGGGCTGGAACTCAGGAGATAAATTAGGGCGGGATATATAGAAATGAGAGTTATCTGTATACAGATCCTAATTAAATCCAACTCACAAAATACCATTTCCCTAAGTAATATTCTGCAGTACAGACTGGGCTACTTCTGTCTTTCCCTCCTCCTTAACAAGGTCAAACATTTCAAACTAAAGACTATCACATTAAATGGAAATGGAGTGCATAAATTTACTGGCTATGCTTTCAGAACCTCAGAGATGAATTTCAGTTCGGCCCACAGCCTCACCAAATCAACTATATACAAAATGAAGATACCTCTCCTTTAAGATTCCCGAGAAGCCTTGATGAGAACTCACAAACTTTGTGATGCCAACATCAACCTCGGTGAGTCCATGCTTCATCATATCAGCAAAGCTCTCTCCATCCTCCTCCTCCTCCTCCTCCTCCTCTTCCTCTTCCAAAAGTCCATCTTCCTCTTCCTCTTCTTCTTCAATCTGGGCCTCAATGTTGTTTCTACCATATCTGGCAGTGGTGGTTTCTGACTGTCTGGTTACAGTCTCATTGCTCAGGGCACAACCATCACCCAAAGTCTCTTGATCTTTAGCCAAACAGCATTCTGAGACCTTTTGTCTTTTAGCTTCATCAGCTTGAACCAGGTCATCATTTTCGTCAATGGAAAGAGAACGTTTCATAGATACTCCAGTCACTTCCACTGTCTCCATTTTTAAGGTCCCAAGACAGCATCTAAGATAATCTTTGTAGAAGGGGAAAAAAGAGAGTAAAGAAAGAACATAAATATTTTAAGAAGAATGCTTCAATTCTATTCAACAAGCATGTCTTAAGCACCTACTACGTGCCAGGCATCATGATAGGTGCTTCAGCTACAATAACAACAAAGTAGTCCCTGTCCTCAAGAAGTTCATATTCTATACAGGGAAAATGCACATGGAAAACTAAATACAAAATTTGGAGAAAGGTGGCACTTGAGCTGAATTCTGAATAAAGCTAGGTTATTCTCTCATGTGAGAAGTAAGGAAGATGTTTATCCCAGACACAGGGGAAAGTCTGTGCAAAGGTACATTGACGGGAGATGGAATATTGTGTGTGGAAAATACCCAGCAGACTAGTTTATGAAAAAGTAATTCTCAATAGGCCTGGAAAGGTAGGCTCCTGCCAGGCAGGAAAGGACTTTAAATAGTTTGTAATCTGTCCTAGGAGCAACAGAGACCCGCTGAAGTTTACTAAGCAGGAGACCGACTGCCAGATCTGTGCTTTAGGAGTCACTTGGGCAGCTGTTGGAAGATGGACTGGGGTGGAGAGAGTCTAAAGGCAGGGAGAGCCCTTAGGGGGCTATTTCACTGGCCTATGTGAATGGACAGAAAGGGACGTATGCTAGAGATGTGCCCTCAGCTGAGGCCATAGTTGGTTCTGCTCAACTGTCTTTCTCTTCCTTTCTTTTTTGTTCTTGGTAAAAGGGTACGTATAGCTTTTCTGGAAAGGAGAGGGTTTGGTTTTTTTTTTAAAGTATCGTTTTCATCTATTCAAAGAGATAGTTCAGGGGCAGTTAGGTGGCCTGGTGGATAGAGAGCTCTGACCTTAGAGTCAGGAAGACCTGAGTTCAAAACTGGCTTCAAACACATGACACTTACTAGCTGTGTGACCCTGGGAAAGTCACTTAATCCTAACTGCCTCACCAAAAAGCAAAAAAAACCCCCAAAAAACCCAAAGAGATAGTTCACTTAGCACATACTTTGATTAGTATTAGTGTCTGAATGACTGTAGCCAAATAAACTGTACAATTTGCTTATGCTCCACACACTGGGAAGCTAAGAATGTGTTCCTTTATAAAACTCTTCATTTCCTACCAGCTGCTCTGCTTGGAAACATCATGCCAAGTACAGGGTAGCCTCTAGTGGCCTTCCCTCATTCACTCAATTTTCAGCTTCCTTTAGGGTACGATATTCCCCTCCTAGATTTTAAGCTCCTTGAGGGCAAGGACTATCTTTTTCTTATTTGTATCCCTAGCACTCAGCATAGTGCTTGGCCCACAGTAGGTGCTCAATAAATGACTAAGGAAAGAGCACTTTAGAGTCAAGGACCTGAGATCAAATCCTGCTTCTGACTCTTACTGCCTGGGTTACCTAGGGGAACTGATTTCCCTCTCTGGACTCAAACCATCTGTAAAAAGAATGGGCTGGACTAGATAGCTTCTAAGACTCTTTGTAGTTCTAAATTTATGCTCACTGATACATCCTCCCCACAGGGATCACAAGTAGGTTTTTAAGTGGCCCTAGCCAGTCTACTGCTTGTTCACTGAAAACAATACTAAAATAAACCACTGGTATCTATTTCTTAACATTATACTCAGATCTCCACAACATGTTCCTCCTCCTCCTCCTCTGTCTTGTCACATTGTAGAGGTGACTTCAAGTTCTTGAAGGTGACCCGTAAGTGGAGCATAAACTCTTTCAGGCTGAGGAAAGGTTTCAAAGTATAGTTCGGAAAAGAGACTCTGTTTTTCAAGGTCAACCCTAGGTCCAGTGAGACTTATCATCAGTTAGTTAACCACTTGTCAAATTTCTTTGGCCATGGAAACCCAAACCCAAACAAAATACAAAATGGCCCACAGTGGCTGAGTGGCAAACAAGGAGGGAAAGGATACTAAGAATCACTTCATTTTCACATCCTCTATAAACATTAACTTAGCTTCTTGTTCTCTAAATGTGAGATATTTGTTCAGTAACCAACTTTGCAACACTACATCTCTCTTGATGTTATAATAAAAAAAAGACTAAAGAAAGTTGGAGGGATGTTTCACAAAGCTTTCCTTGAACAGGCCAATGAAAGTGTTGGTTTTATCATGTATTCCAAGGCAGTAAGAAACATTTCATGAGACGTGGTCACTTCAAATTGCAATGTTCCTGGTAAACGTTTGCAAAAAAGATCACCACGAAGAAAATTGTAGCTCGTGTGCCAATTATCTGTTGCTGAGAATGAGGAAGCAGAGAGATTCCACAAAGAACTCAATGAGACCTTCTAAATTAAATCAATATATACTTTAATATTTGGTCAGTTTGATGCAAAGGTGGGCATGATAGGTGAAAAAAAGATGCTGAAAGCACAGTTCAGTAGTAAGGAACAAAATAAGCTGAAGACTTCTAGACCCACATCTGAGGGTCAGCTTGCTGGGGAAAGAGCTGGCCTTGGAGTCAGGAAAGCTACAGTCTCACCTCTGAAACATACTGGCTGTGTGACCCTGAGCAAGTAACTTAACTTCTCAGTGCCCCAAGGATCCTGCAAAGAGGCGTCAAGGTAGGGTATGAACTAGGGTCTCAGAGATTTCAAGTCCAATCCACTGCTTTCTAAGTCTAAGAGGCAAAGCAAGCAGAGAGCAGGTAGAGGAAGCTGCCTTCTTGGGAATAAAATCACAGGTCTGGTCTTTAAAAAGCCCCTTAACCTAGGATCATAGAATCATAGCTTTAGAGTGGAAAGGAACCTTAGAAACCATCTCATGACAAGCTGTGGTATACGAATGTGATGAAATACTATTGTGCTATAAGAAATGACAAGCAGGAAATCCTGGAAAGACTTACATGAACTGATGCTGAGTGAAGTGAGCAGAACCAGAACAACACAGTACACAGTAACAGCAGCACTGTGCGATGACCAACTTTGATGGACTTAGCTCTTCTCAGTAATACAATAATCTAAGACAATTCCAAAAGATAAAATGCTATCCAGACCCAAAGAAAGAACTATGGAGCCTGAATGCAGATCCAAGCATACTATTTTCCCTTTTTTTTCTTTCTCGTGGTTTTTCCCTGTTGTTCTGATTCTTCTCTCACAACATGACTAATGTGGAAATATGTTTAATATGACTGTGTATGTGCAGCCTATATCAGATTACTTGCCGTTTTGGGGAAGGGAGCGGGAGGGAGGGAGAAAAAAATTTGGAACTCAAAATCTTATAAAAGTGAGTGTTGAAAACTATCTTTGTATGTAATTGGAAAAATAAAATACTATTAAGTGGGAGGGAGGGGAAGAAATCATCTCATGCAACTCCCTCATTTCATAGCAGAAGAAGAGGCCCAAAGACATTACTTGACTAAGGTCACACAAGTAGGAAGCACTGGAGTGAGACCTGAACCCATGCCCTCTGAGACATATATAAGCATGAATATTTTCTTCAAGAAGAGTCAAGAGGCACTGATACATGGTTAAGTACCAAAGAACACTATAAAAAAGTGAAAATTATACTTAATATTAAAAAAAAACGACTCTTCACTGATGTCAGTCATTTCCAAATCATCTTGTATTCAGCCAGACCACCAACTTGTTAGAACAAAGGTCAGAATCAGGATCAAAACAGAACAAAAATGAGACAATATGCATGCAGTCGAGGCAACTTCAGCTAGACTTCATGAATAATGCACAAAAGAACAATGACAAAAATGATGACCATTTTCTAAGGAAATTTACTTCTACAAATTGATTGCCACAATATGGCGACCAAAAGAGCCTAGAAACTGCTTTAGTCAGCAGAGATATGATCTCCTTGCCAGGTGAAGAGAGACGGCAGACAATAGTTACAATGGTTTTTAGAATATAAACTCCCTTGTAAGAGTTTACAGAGGACAGAGGGTAGGGGTTATTTCACATTTATCTTTATATTCCTAGCATTTAGCCTGGTACACAGTAGGGAATTAATAATCCTTGCTGACTGATTGACAGGATAGCGCAAGATTATGAGTGCTACTGCCTTTCAAAACATCTAAAAGCAGTGGAGGAAAAAAACAAGTTTATAGAAAGCTTGGCATGAGACCCATCTGAGTAAGGGCATTTAAATGGCATTTAAGGATGAAACTGGAAGGAAGACAACAAACAGATGAAAAAAGGGCATAGATTCTATTCTAACAACCTCTCTCCATCACTGACAACTACATTATGATTTTTGGGACAGCCCACACACAGAAGAGAGCTGTACTGGCTGTGACAATCATAAGGACACTGAGAAATTATAGGATCACAGATTCAGAACTAGAAGCATCCTTAGGTGTCAGCTTGTCCAACCACCTCATTTACAGATATGATTTTATCAGTGAACTGACTTTTAAGAAGCATTACCATCTATTTTGCAACCTAAGGATCATGGGACTCGTCTATCAGATTTTCAGGTAAAATCTTCCATGTATGTTCCTTCCCCCACTAGAATGGAAGCTCCCTGAGGGCAGCAACTATGTTATTTTCTATTTGTGTCTCCACAGCTCAGAAGAGAGCTTTGCACATAGTAAGCTTAAGAAATTCTTTATTTGGTGCAGCTAAGTGGCACAGTGGATAGAGCACCGGCCCTGAAGTCAGGAGCACCTCAGTTCAAACCAAACACTTGATACTTACTAGCTGTGTGACCCTGGGCAAGTCACTTAACCCCAATTATATAAAAAAAATATTTATTCATTCATTCACATGATGATGAGGATGATGAAGAAGAAAGAGGAACAGAGAGGTTAAGAAATTTGACCGTGGTCACAAGGGTGAACTAGGGCAATAACTCAGGTTCTCTGACTCCAAATCCAGAACTTGCCAGTCATTCTGAGCTATGCCTTCCACTGGAGAGAGTGAGGCTGATGACTTTGCACAGCTCTTCCTCACTTAAATCCAATTTACTTGTAAGTCAAGACATCACCCTCCTGATGTCATTGGTTGTCTGGTGATACTACATCACTCTCAGTAATTAAACATCACATTCTCCCAAGAACTAAAGCTGCAGATTGCCCAAAGGACTTAAGGGAGACACATGGTGTTTATGAATACACTATAACATATTACCAACAAAGAAGTGTGTAGGGAGAAGCAAAAAGAAACAAGATGCATATTACATATGTATACAAATACATATATTCGTATATACGGGAGACTGGAAAGGACAAATGCGCTACCTAGAGAGTGAGAATGAGTAATAAACAAGTGAAAAGCCCATGTGCTCTTTACTGCTATCCATGTAAATGTGAAGAGATCCAGGGGAAGGTCACCCAAAAATTATAGGGGATTTACAGAAGGATACGAACAAGAAGATGGACAGCCCAAGGATGAGTAGCAATCTGCACGAGCGAGGAATACCCACAGCTCCATTCAGGTATATCCTCCATTACTCCAGAAGATATACGATTGGTCATGAAGCAAAAGTAGGGGTAACGTGAACACACTCCAAGTGTCACCTGGGTACTCAGAGTATGGTATATTGGGTGATCACCCTATGGAAGATATGGAAGGAAAAGTCATACAAGATGAGAAGGCATATATGATCTGTTAGAGGCAGCTCAGCAGAGACATAGGTCTGATTCCCAGATCCATTCCTATACGCTTCAGGTCTGAGTCCAAGTAGAAGACAAAACCGTACAATTCTATTACCAACACTGCTACACAGAGGTAGAAAGTAAATTAGACTATCTATATCTATTATTTTCTTTCTTTCTTTTTAAATAGAGAACTGGGAAAGAGGAAATAATTCGTGTTGACTAAAAAAGTTAATTTCTTTAAAAAAAAGTAAATCACACACAGTTCACAGAATCACAGAATCTTAAGAGTTGGAAGGAACTTTAGAAAGCATCTTGTCCAACTCCCATCTGGAATATGTATCCTAATCTATAGAATTATTGACAAGAAGCCAGTCAGCCTTCTCTAATCACCTTTTTTTGTTGCTTTTCAACCCTATCAGACTCTTCCTGACCCTATTAGGGGTTTTCCTGGCAAAGACACTGGAGTAGTTGGTCATTTCTTTCTCCAGCTCATTTTACACAGGAGGCAATTGAGGCAAATAGAGTTAAGTGACTCTCCCTCCGTCACACAGCTAGTAAGTGTCTGAAGCTGGATTTGAATTTAGGAAAATGAGTCTATTTATCTCTCCAGTGCTCTATCCACTTCAACACCTAGCTGCCCTTAATCACCTTTAGTGAACAAGAATTCACTGCTATCAAACCTTTAGTCTAGAGGGACAGCCCATTCATTACACTTTTACATTGCTTTTAACAGTTAAAAAGTTTTCTTATTTTGAGCATTTTACCTGACACTGGAAGAAAAAGGAAAGTTTGGAAACTGCAACCGTCTGTAGCATTCTTAGGGAAATATAGTCCTAAAAATCCTGATTACTGACTGCCTAAGGCTTAAATGTAAACATTCAGGAGTGGGTGCACCAGGCAACAAATTCAAATGACCGCTCAAATCCTTTTCAAAGTAGAGATACCAAGACACTTTGGGAAACAGTAATAATAGCATTTATATAGAGCCAATCACTTAACAAATACCTCATTTTATCCGAACTCCAGGAGACGGCTGATATTGTCACCTCCATTTTACAAATAAGGAAAAGCAGACCGGTTAAGTAACTTGTCCAGGGCCACAAGGCTAGTAAGAGTCAGAGGTCACATTTGAACTAGGGCCTTCCTGATTCCTGGTCCAGCGTGCATTCGCTGGATCGAACCAGGGATTCCCACTAGAGGGCCATATGCCGTTTTCATATCTGATCAATGCTTTTTCCTACCGGTTCAAAAACCCATCAACGATCCATCACCCCCTCCCCATAGAAGGAGCAACAGTGTTCCCCCATCACAATTCCTTCCTCATCCATACACTATTTCAGCAAATAATAATAAAAAAATTGTGCCTGGAAACGTCAGCAATCTCCTGCTAAGCACGTGGAAGAGGGAAAGAGTGGAAAAGGAAAGGGACAAGCTGTCAAGCAGGAGAGAAGAAAGGTGCAGGGGAGGTGGGGAGGCATGCATTATGCCAAGCCCAGAGAAGTGGGGAGAATGCGGACCCCAAGGCCAGGATGGAAGCGGAGAGGAGGAGGCGGGGAGACGAAGCCGCGGGACGCTGAGGCCGACTCGGGCCACGCTCCCTCGGGCGGAGCAGCTAATGGAGGCAGACAGGCCGAGGGCTCTGGGTTAGAGCCGGGGGCGCGCGTAGTTCCTACTCACCAGCGTGCGCAGGGCAGGGGCTTGGGCCCGAGGGAGGGCTCGCGGACAGAGGCCCGGCGCCGTGGGCGGCCGCAGCCCTTCCTGGAACCCCGGGGAGGCGGAGGAAGCGCGGCCGAAGGCCGGGAGGGGGCGGCGAAGCCGGACCGCAGGAGCCCGCTGCCCAGACCGCTGAACATCCCCCAGCGCCCGCGCCGCCGGTGCCAATGGACACGCAGCCCGCCGCCGGAGCTCGCACACGTGCGGCGGCGCGAGCGACGCGCCCAGGAGGCGGACCCAGCGCCAGGCTCGGCCCCGCCAGGGTCCTCCCCGCCGGGGGCGGCCGGAGCCGGGCGTCCCCGCCACGTTTCCGCGCGCCCCGGCTTCAACGGCCCTGGGGGCTTCGGGCCCCGAGCGCTCGTGCCGACAGCCCGGACTCCCAGAGGCGGCCCCGGCTGCCGGGCTTGCGGGGCCCATCCCGGGGCTCTGCCCGCCCGCAGCCCGGACCGCCCGAGACCTTGGACTTGTGTGAGCGTGGCTGGAATCCTCCCCTCCCCCACAGACCTAACCAAAGCCGAGAACATCTGCAGAATGCTTGCAAGCAAACCTCAGCACCGTATTAATACTAGCTCTTCTTTATTACTATCCTAACTGTTTTATCACTTTCGGCTTTACTGATGCATTTGCATTATGTACTTTTAAAGAGACTCACACTTCACGGGAGGTCTCCGGTAACGAAGTCAAAGCAGTTCATTACCACTAATCATACAATGACCTCATTACTGGGTAATGGGCGTTTATGCTGAGATAAGTGGCGGGGGGGCAGCCTGACTCAGCGGGAGTCCGAGTGGAATGGAAAAAAGTCGGATAATTTCTGAGGGGCTGCTGCGAGTCTTGCAGTAGACTCGTCGAGGGTGCCACTGGCTGGTCTTGGGTTTGTAGGGGAGACTCGGGTTCAAATCCAGCTTTGGGCTCCAGCTGCATAATCCTGGCGGGGCTAGTGGTTTAAGCTCTATGGGCCTCCAGAGAAGCTCCCCAGGATTTATTCACCTACTTGGGTGAATTTACGAAGTGTATTGCTACTGAATTATGTGCCATTAGTCTTACTTCTTCCCCACCACGCTGGAATTGGGAACTTATTCAATAATAAAAAATATTTACTGTAATGGGGATTTTGTTTAAATGGGATGGGGAGGCAGATAAGAATGTGTGGATCTGAAAAGAAAAATGTTTTAATCTAAAATTTAAAATTTTTTGAAAAAAATACTTCTTTTATCACTTATATTGAAGATATAATTCCTTCAAAAATTGTAGGGACAAGAAGTAGATTCTTCCACATTTCCATCCTTCTTAACAGAGAAGATAGCCATACTAAGTAAGGTTTTTGTGAGAAGCATGTCTGAGGCAAGCCTGGACTGAGGCAAGCTCAGCACTGGACAGTGTGGAGAGAGCCATTTTTAAAAATACAGATTCCCCTAATAATCCCGTGTTTTTCAGACATTTCCTCAAAGCCACTGGTGGTCAGATTTTAAATTTAATTCTGCAAACTGAGTATTGACTGACTGAAAAATATGTGCATGGCACTGTTTGGCCCAGGTCTAATTATTCTACTCATTTCAAAACTAATCTAGGATTTATGACCCTTAACTTTCTGGTCTGTTGCATTACTTGCAGGGGTTTTTCAGTTGATTAATACCTAAATTATTCACACTTGAAAGAGGACAGGACAACTAATTAAAATTAAAAGTAGTTTTTTGTTTCTAATACTACAGGAAGAGAATATCACAGCTCCAATTTTCTTAAGATTAAAACATATGGGGATCATCACACTTCCTAGGGCTATTGTTGATTCATAATTAATATCACAATGAGATAGATTGTAGTATGTTTGGAGCTAAAAGGACCTGAATTCAAGTTCTGGCTATATGTCTCTTTCTTTTTTTTAAAATTTAGTTTTAGTTTTCAACATTCACTTACATAAGCTTTTGAGTTTTAAATTTTCTCCCCTTCTTTCTCCACCTCCCTGATATAGGCTCTACATATACATTCCTATTAAACATATTTTCACATTAATTATGTTGTAAAGAAAAATTAAAACCAATAGGAGGAACCACAAGAAATAAGAAACAAAATGAAACCGAAGAAAAAGAAAGAGCAAATACTATGCTTCGATCTGCATTCAGACTCCATCGTTCTTTCTCTGGATGTGGATAGCATTTTCCATCACGAGACTTTTGGAGATGTCTTAGATACTTGCATTGCTCAGAAGAGCTTAGTCTATCAAAGTTAGTCATCGAACAATTTACTATTACTGTGTACAACATTCTCTTGGTTCTGCTCACTTCACTCAGCATCAGACCATACAAGTCTTTCCAGGTTTTTCTGCAGTCACTGCTCATCATTTCTTATAGCACAATAGTATTCTGTTACATTCATATACCACAATTTGTTCACCTGTGTGACCTCAGACAAGTCATTATTTAACCTTCCTGGCCTCAGTTTTCTCATCTGAAATAAGGGGGCTACCTCTCAGGTCCTTTAAAATTCTAAATCTGTAAAAACTGGGTGGGGGGAGTGGGGAGAGAAGCAACTGCAAAATATAGTCAGGGTGGCAGTTCAGTAGTAACTCCAGATACCAATGTTAATTTGCCCTGAAAAGCACATCTTTCCCTAACACAACAATCAACTATTTGTTTTTTAGAGAGGCTCACATGTATTTCTTCCCAATGGTCAAGATTATGAAAGGAGAAAAATAAGATCTGTATAGGCGTGATAGACTGGAAGAGCAGGTAGGGGCAGACTGACTAGAAGATACAAATTCTGTTTTGGAGGAATGAGGAAGAGGAGAAGGAGAGGAGCATAGGCTCAAACTGTCATCCCTGTGGACTATTGATAACCCTCATCTCTTCCTTCAAGCATCTTCATCAAGCCATCTGACAACCTCCTCCATTCATCATCTTATTTTATTTTTTTTCTTTACTCCCAGAGTACTAGAAATGTACTCTGGTACATCATGCATCACACTCTGTCATTTCACGGATTTAGCTTTAATCCAAGGGAAGACTTGATAACCTAGTTCATGACTTACTGCTGGTAACTGGAAATTTCATTCTGGCCAAAGGAAGAATGAAGAGAGAAGCTAGACAGGCAGGTACTCCTTGGGGAATACTTTCTACAAAAGCAGTATATTGTTTATACTTTTACTGTTGGATAAAATGGCAGCTGGAAGATAATAGAGCTAGAGACAAGGTCACCTAGTCTAATTCCCCAGTTTTACACATCAGGAAACTGAGGCCCAGGGATATTGTCCAAGGTTACACAAATAGTAATTATTAGAGATTGATCTTCTCTTGTATTACTTCTGGAGATTTAATTCAATGATTCAGCATGGTTTTGGGGTCCTAAAATGTTGTCACTGACACGTACCACAAGACACATGCATGGCATATATTCTTGCATTAGAACACTGATTAAAAAAATATGTGAAAAGTTCATTCACACTGAAGCAATGTAGTAATTAGTTTGATTTAAAGTGTGGAGCAAATGGTGCAAAATACTTATGCATAATGATGCACATGTGAACCAGGAAACCAATTTTCTATTCATGTTTTAAATTTTCCTGGATGTTATTAAAATGTGTTCTTCATGGCTCCTCTGACTTCATCCCCATGGGTAGATGCCTTTCATCTATGAAGATTTCAACCCCCTCTAGACCTTAGTAGTTTCATGAGTCTATAATTAATCTTCCCCTGGTGATTCCCTCTAAAGTCCTCTAATGCAACAGACTCAGTGTATCCCTGGAGTTTATTAAACTCCAAATAATTTATAATGTTACTGGTTTACATCCTTCAATGTAGAAGAAAAGGAGTATATTTTCATGCCTCTTCACTTTATTTTTTTTAAGTATCATACTACCAAAAGTATAGTTGTTGTTAGGTATCAATGACTGAGATCTGAATAAATGATATAGATGAAGATGATTGGGGGAAGGAGGGAATTAAGTCAAGATATTAAATGCACATTTTAGAAAATAAATAAAAGCCAGCACCTGAATAAACTCCTGCTCATTCATCCCCTGCCTTGTGTTCACTTATTTTTTTTTCAATAAAGCAGTTAAAAGTAAGATCCTAAGTAAAAAGCCATAAAAAACCCAACTTTTCCTAGCCTTTATTTGATAACAGGGGCTCCAAATTCTAATAACCTCAGATGATGTTTCCATCATTGCACAGGAGCTGAACTCTTCTGTGACTTCTATTCCTTGTTAATCTTGAGCCATCTCCCTTGCTGAAGAGTGTCTAAGAGAATCACTGTAGGCAAAATTAGAAAGCAGAAAATTCGGGAATGATGGCATAAGAAGTTGTGTTTGCCTTAGGACCCTCAAAGTGTCAGACATACTTTCCTTCAGAGAAGTGTGGGAGGGGCTGCGAATACTTCAGTTGTCATAATTAAGGATTGAAGGAGGTGGAGGTGGAGTCATGGAGCTATAGATTATTAAAGTTGGACCTTGGAATTCAACCTCTTCATTGGATGAATAAGGAAACTGAGGCACAGAGCCATCTGGGGAAGTCTGGTTCAGTGGAAAGATCATTAGATTTAAGAATCAGAGGACCTGGGTTCAAATTCTGGCTTTGTCAGTCATGACTGTGTGACCCTGGGCAAGTCTCTTGACCTCTCTAGGCCTCAGTTACCTTGTCTGTAAAATGAGTTTGCACCTCTTCCAGCTCTAAATCTGTGATATTAATGCATTGCTTAGAAGTGATATGAGTTTGTGTTGGGTTATTCACTCTCTGTAGTGACTATAGCAGCCCACATTTTGGGCACCCACGACCCCAATAAGGGCCAGGAAACTTGCCTCCTTTGAGCATAGTTAAAAAGCATGGGGAAAAAAATGGACCTGTTATCCCAATGCCATGCCCTTGGAGTGGGGAGGTTTAGTTGCGTATTTTTTGCCATCAGTGCAAAATTTGGAAGGTAGTACTACTGGCATTTTTCCTTTTTTTTTTTAAATCATATTTCAACTTCACAAAACTCTAATGGTGTGATTGTATTCTTGGATACTGTTGTATATAACTACAAAATAAAAGGCAGAGGATTTTAGCTGCATAAA